GACGCCCCCCCCCGCAGATTTCGCTTTCCACGAACTCGGCCCCCCCTCCACCCCCGCACTGTAACGGAAATCAACTGGCTGACATTCATGCGTTTGCAGAATGCTCGAGTGTCAAGTTCTCAGACCACATGCAAGGATTGTGAGCAGGTGAAAAGCGTTCAACTTGTCTTAAAATTCCTCAGTTTTCGACTTGGGCGTCAGCGTCATTTAGGAAGCTCAGTGGGTGGAATAACATGTACTCAAGGTCCCTCTAGAAAAATCCGATGGTGAAATTCCCAAACCACGTATCTCGTTCGCGGTGTTTTAAAATATTTGCTCTCATATTCATTTTTTAACGGTGAACAAATCAACATCATTCCTTGAAATTTTTTCAGAATTTGCCTCGCACGAAGAGAAAAAATCACGGAGATTTTTAAGAACCGACGATGAGTGATTCTCCATTCAAACTAATAAAGTATGACAGGAGGTCTGCAACGTCGCAAATCGAGATACGTGGTTTGGGAGTTTGACCATCGAGTTGTGACTGTCTGGCCGCAAGGATGGATTGGAATCGGAAAAGTAACAGGGAATATCGTCCCATCAGAGCTTGAGTAGGCCTATTTTAGCCGTTTTTTGCCACGTGGAGGAGATAAACCGGTCCAAAATTATCCTAAAATCGGTCGGCCGACCGGGATTTTTCTCGGTTTTCCCGCCCGCCTGTCTACCCCTGAGGGCCCTATACTGTCGTGCTAAGGAAGAACGCCGTATGAACATTCGAAAGTTGCCAAATTTCCCTTAATAAAACATTTATTTTTGAAAAGATTCATGCATATCTTTCCTTGAAATTTTCAGATATTTTCGATTAAATTGCGTACAAAATTGTCTGAAAATTTTGGAAAATAATATTCAAATTTTTCCCAGCAAATTCGGTTTCCAACAAAGGAAACTTTGCAACGTCTGAAGGCTCATACGGCGTTACGTCCTAAGTATATTCAAGTACGGTGGAGAGACCGAAAAAATTTGGCCCCTCTGAACGCATAATGTACTTATGCAATTTCGTGCTTGTTGTCTTCCTTAAAAAATGTTCGGGGCAAAAAAGGAGGATCTGTCTTGTTATTGTAAGGTTGATAGGTATATTCATAATTGATGGTCAAATCTGACGTCATGAAGTTCGAGGAATCGAGCAAGTACGCGACCCCGGTAGACGAAGTCGAGTGAACCACGCGAGCTGACAGGAGTGACGCACGTTGCGTCGTTGCGGGCGCCCGCGCCGGCCGTATATCCTCCAATAAAGTTCCCACCCACCCGCACGACTCCGTGAGCCACCAGGTATAAAATTAGTGGTAGTCGTGCACTTAATGTATAATTCCCTCGAAAAATTTTCATAGTTTCATATGAAGGCGCTTGTTAACTCGAGTTTACAGAATTTTTCATACTTTTTTTGCGGTGCGGGAAATCTGACAAAAGAATATTCACTTAAATTTAAAAAAAGCTACCACGCTATGATGTCATACAACAGAATATCACATTTGATCACGTGTATTTTAGTAGATTTGATCATCAGTCACGAAACCTCCGACAATTTGACCACATTTTGCGATTAGAAACCATGATAAGTGGCTCAGTAGACAAACAACGCATGTATCATTAGTTTCCCGATGCACATGAGGTTTTTTTTACGTATAAACCAGGATTGTAGTTCCTAATTGCATAATGTAATCTAATTATTGAATTCAAAAAGCGAGGGTACGATTCCACCCGTTAAAACGGCAGTTTTCGTCACTACTCTAGCGTGAGGGCGTACCGTAATTTCTACGTGAGCCATAAATTGGACTACATGTTGCAATTTGGAACTATAAATTCTAGACCGGTTTAAAAACAACGTATGTGCCATTAGTTTCCCTATGCACAAAAGTGTTTTTCCAGAAGAGCCAGAATTTATAGTTCCAAATTGCAAAATGCAGTCCAATTCATGCTTTATAGGGCTCATGCGGAAACCGAGATACGCCCTTACGCCAAAGGAGCGACGTTTTCTGAGCATGATAGTATAGCCGGAATGGCTCGACATGTTGGTGTCCAGTGGTGACTATTGAAAGTTGGCAACACTGTTTTATCTCCATTTAAATGTATGTTAAACAATTGATTCTAGGTGAGGCACCCTGTCTCACCCAGAATCGATACATTCGATGAATTGAAATGGAGTATTGACAGCAGGATTGCAAACTTGCTGGAACCGCCATTGGTAGTGTCTATGACGCTCCGTCGATTACACTGAAAAAAAAAATCTCGGTGTATTTACTAAGAAAAGGGTAAAATTACCAAGAATTCGGGGTTCTATTTGATCCCAGTTTTTTCTTGGTAAAATTACCATTTATGGAATTGGTAATTTTACCGAGAAATCTCGGTAAAATTGTTGAACTTTCTTGGTGATTTTACTGGACCTTGGTAAAAACGCCAATATTTTTTATCGACTGTGTTAGAATTACCGGGATAAAGTGGCAAAGTTACCGGGAATTGATTACCAACAAAAGTGGTATTCTTACCTGAGAAAAACAGTAAAAATACCGGTTTTTAGGTAAGCTTACCAGTCTGTTTTGTTAAAATTACCAATAATTGGTAAAAAAGTGAGATGGTAAAAGTACCAACGGACCTTGGTAAAAACGCCGAGAATTTTTTTTCAGTGCAGGGTGAGGGGAACGATCGGAGTGCGATGGTATTTTTCTGATTCCAAAACCTAGGGTTGGGGGACCGAAGGGGCCGTGAGCTTGTCTTGCCGAAAGTTGGCACAGCAGCCAAATTGCGGAGTTTTCAATTTCGATCACGTCACTTCACCGGGGATCGCTCGCCAAGTCGTCGTTGCTTATCAGTAGGTATACGACTCAAACACGTTCCTCGATTCTGAATTAAAAAAATATTTTTTCACACACGAAGCATGGTTCCACGTCTGTAATTAATCGAATTCTTTTCGCATGCCGCAGATTAGCAATTGTCGGCAATTTGCTGGCCACTGTTGAATAAATTAAAAATCATTTAATTCAGAAATAAAGAACCGATATTAGCTAAGTATTGATTATTTTGCCTTTAATGTGAAATTGACGCTTTTTCTTCCGTAAAAACATGATAGGGGCAGGCACACGCAGAAGAGCGAGTGGTGAAATCCGTAACCTTATATTAGTCGGGTTTAGATCGCAGACAGGCGACTAAACCAACACCGCGACAATGCGTAAAGTATCACAAAAAATGAAGGCGATCGAAGCCGACATAATTCTTTTAAAACCCGTCAAACTTTCACTATAGTTTCCAGGGCCGGATTAAGGGGGTGGCCACGTGGGTCGCAGCCTATGGTGGCAAAATTAGGGGGGCGGCAAATTTTGCAATTTTTCTTTTATATGCAGGTACAAAAAAAATCGGATTCAGAAAAAAATTACAAACAAGAAAAGGTGAAAAAATCTCGCATTTCCTGAGAGTTCATTAATTTCTAATTTTGTCGTATCTCTGTGATACAAAAGACTGCGCACCTTTAATTAGTTGAGTTAAGAGAGAAACCAAACACGCCTGGAGCGACGCGCTGCAAAGAGAAATGATGACGAGGACTTGAGATGAAAAGGAGAAGCCCTCGACGCGGCGGTCGGCATGTAACACATATTAGCGCCTACGAGACTGCATCAATACTTCACGCATTGCGTCACAGTCTCACAGTACGGTCAACCGCGCGCGGTCGGCGCGGCGGCGTGAAACGCACAGTGCCTACAAGACTACATGAATACTTTACGCATTGCGCCAAACACAGTGTGGTCAGCGCGGCACGGCGCGGCGCGGCGGCGGAAGTTAAAATTATTAAACCACATTTATGTTTGTTCTTTCTTCATTTTTTAGTTCATTTCTTACAAATGAAAGGTCTTGTCCCCACAGAGATATGTGTACGGAACTGAACTTTCGCGCGAAGTTCCGTGAACTTTTGCTAGTAGTGTTGACAGGGCTTACGCAAAAAATGTGTCCAATACGAGTGAACGCGTCTTATGCACCCTTCTCCCTCCGGCACGTTCACTTGATGGTTTTTATTGATGTTTCAAAATGAATGGGAAGAGGGCGGCAAAATACAGGCGGCCCATGGGCGGCAAGTAGGTAAATCCGGCCATGATAGTATCCGCCTCCATGCGCTTTGCGATTTATCGAAGCAACACGTAAGCCGCTTGCAAATTGCCGATAGAAAAAAATTGCCCTCGACACATAGATAGGGTCGACACAAAATGTGCAGGATTGACTCTCTGTGTGAGGGATCTTCCAGTATCAGAGGGTTAGAACCCGACCCCAAAGTCATTAAGGAACCTCTCATGTATTCAACCCTCCTACTGAGAAAATTTGATTAATTATATAGTAAAGAATTTTCTTGTACCTTAATAATCCAACGACTTCAACCCTCAGAGCTTTCTTTAAGATTAGGAGTTGATTTCAGACATATAGACAGTGTGTGGCACCATCGTGTTAGAAAAGAAAATAGTCGACTACGCGTACTTAGATTTTTGACGTTGCGAATTCCTTGCCAATTTCATATGAAAGGAAACCATTCAACCTTATATGTTTATTCGAATTACCCCAAATTTTTCTTCAATCTGTACAAGTAGAATATCTAGTAAAAATGTCGAATAATAGGTTACGCGTCCGTATTGGCTTTCTTCAAAAATCCACCCGCGGATATTTCGAATCGTTGTCTCTGGTTTTGCCGAAGATGATTTCCTACACTAAATAACTCACTCTGATAATCTTATTTTTGTTTTATTTTGCAGGTGAGGCATACGCTGCATCAGAAGATCACCTATTCAACGACGAGGGTTTCCCTTTGCGAGCCAGCGCTCGGATCGGAGATGCCGGCTCGAACCCTGATTCAGAGACGCGAGGATTCGCAGGGCATCGCGGGCAATACAAGGGGTATCGCAGACCCGCCTCGCCTGTCCCTGCAGAGCTCCGTGCCGGCGACCAACCTCCTTTCAATGATCCATTCTCTGGTTTCTTCTTCGACATGCAAGGTTAGTACCATAACTCACGCATCTATCTTCATTCAAAGGAAGCAAAGTCTATTTGCCGGAAAATAAATTCAAAATTAAAAAATATCGGAGAAAAAACCTGAGACCTACATGTTGGTGTAGGTTTTTCTCGGATCTCGGCTACCAACATGTAGATCTCAGGTTTTTACTTCGATATTTTTTAATTTTTAATGTATTTTCCGGCTGGAAATGACTCAGGGTTGAGTCGAAACATCTCGGATTTTAAGCAGGGCCGGATTAAGGGGGTTGTCACATGGGCCGCGGCCCATATGGCGGCAAAATTAGGGGGCGGCAAATTTTGCAATTTTTTTAAATGCAGGTACAAAAAAATCGGATTCAGAAAAAAATTACAAACAAGAAAAGGTGACAAAATCTCTCATTTCCTGCGAGTTCATTAATTTCTAATTTTGTCGTGTTTCGGTGGTACAAAAGACTGCGCACCTTTAATTAGTTGAGTTAAGAGAGAAACCAAACATGTAATTTGGCCCACAGCGGCGCGGCGCGAAGAGAAATGATGACGAGGACTTGAGATGAAAAGGAGAAGCCCTCGACGCGACGGTCGGCATGTAACACATATTAGCGCCTACGAGACTGCATGAAAACTTCACGCATTGCGTCAAACACAGTACGGTCAACAGCGGTCGGCGTGAAACGCAGAGCGCCTAGACGTGACTTTTCCCGCATTTCTAAAGAGTTTAAGAAAATGAAGAACTAAATTCTTCTTCTTTTAGGCTGGCATGAAATTGAGCTACTTAGAATTTGAAATGATTTTATGACACCTCCTCATTAAGCACATCGTTTTATGGGGTCATTCATGAAATACGTAACGTCAAAATGAAGGAGCATTGAAGCACATAGTTTCTCACTCATACTTTCTGACTTTAATAGTATTTTTGTTGGACAGCAAAGCTAAAGCTAGAAAATTGATAGACAGAATGAGAGTTTTTAAAAATTCAAATAAAATGATTGTATGTATCATGTTTTTTGTGCAGACATGATGAAAATCCTGCGTGATCAAATGTCGGTTGTTCTGTCACGAGTTCCACCGAAATCGATGAGTGGTGACGATGGCCCGTTGAGTTTCGTCCCCTCCGATGTGAGGAATCAGACGACGACCAAAGTAGATGTGAGTATGTTAAATATATACCAGAGCACGTCACCAGTGTATTTATAGCGTTTCATTGATGCTTTCATAATTCATACTTACGAATGAAAAGCTGTAAAATAGGACTCATATCGCTTTCTCACCGTAGCACCCTGGTAGCACACGACGTAAATTTAACACCAAAAAATATCGTATAAAAAACTCGTAAAAAATTAGTGTATTAGCCCTAAAAGGAAATACAATGCAGGCATTTTACTCGAAAAATACGAGTACTTTAAAATTTATTTCACTCTTCCAAAATTCTGTTGTTACCCTTTTACGCTCGAATTTTTAACACACAATACTTGAGCTATGATTATCTGCGATTTTTATGAGTTTCTTTAACATAAAGATTTTGATAACATATTAAAATTATTTATATACCCTATTCAAATGTTTTACGCGTAATTTCATGGGCTGTGCTATTAGGGTGGGACAAACCAGCCCGAGTAGAAACGTTTTTACCAATTCTCTTTTGCACTTACTCGCTGTATAATTTTTGTTTGAGCCTTTTCAGTTGTTTTAACTTATTTTATTCGTATTTAATTTAAGAGACAAGGGACACGAAGGGAGTGATTCCATTATGTTTAATTGACCCTTTAGGCCAGGGCCAAATTTTAAACTAGGGCGCTTCATACTCATTAATTTGAATAATACATTATTATAAGCACGTGAAGATCCTTTTCTAAAGTGAGAAAGTTACGGAATAAATACCTACCTACTTAAACTTTAAAAACTCTTAAAGTTTCAGCATCACTAAACATAAACTCACTAAGTGAGTACCTCCCTAAGGGCAATAAACTAAATTACTTCATTACACATATTCTCAATGAGTAACCCAAAATCGATTGAAAATCCGAAAAATCTTTTCCGACCACAAACTTTCTGCCCTGTACCCACATACTTATTGTTAACATGCTATAGATAACAGGTTGATGTATACAGCTGAGCATATTAATACCCACTGGGCATCACTCTTTCTTTCCGTGAAAGCATGTCTGCTGGTGCGTTATTCCTTACAAAGGTCACGGGCTTTAATTCTACCACGTCAGATCAAAAATAAGTATCGGGAAAGGTCGAGCTGCACATTGCACACAGCACTTTTGGGATCACTGCTCGGAGACACTAAATTCTCACCAAGTCTCACTGTCGAAGAAGAACGTAACTGCAAAAAGCGCTTCGACGTCGACGGTGAAACTACCAAACCACGTATCTTGTTTACGGTGTTTAAAAATCCTCGCTCTTATTGTTTTATTTTTTTAAGGAAGAACAAAACAACATCATTCCTTGAAATTTTCTCAAAATTTGCTTCTTACAGAGTAGAAAAATTATGGGATTTTTTCAGGATTGATATCGCGTGGTTTTCAATTGAAAATATAAATAATAGACAGGAAGCCTCCGACGTCGCAAGTTTCACCGTCGACTTTCGGCGGGTAGCGCTCAGCGGGTTAGCTTCAAGTGGGCAGTAGGTATGTAACTAATTGGATTCAGCTTTCTTGGGAGATGAGAGATTTGCTCGATAAAAGCGCTTGGCAGAGCTCAACGTTTACCATTTTAAAAAAACTGTTATCTTTTTTCTAAGCGCCGCACAGTGGGTCGTGTAAATTAGAGAGGTCGGACATGATGTTTTTGACTAAAACTGCAGTTTTTGATGTTTACTTCGTCACGTTTTAAATTTTAAGGTGTGCCTCTAGAAGAAAATTTTACGAGAAAACCAATGAGCCCACTTTCAGAACCTCAAAATTTTATATGAACAGCGTTACATGCGTTTAAAATTTCCAAATTTTGTGCGACCTCTCCCGTTGACTCGCTCCACTGTGCGCCGATTGCAGAAGGGTTCGTCGGGTGGATACTCAGTCGATTTTGGGTTTCGAGAGCGGAATCCAAATCCCTATCTCTGACGGTGTGTTTATCTGCGGCAGTTCGTGGACGGGCACAAAGTTGTGATCAACGACACGACATACTCGAACGGGGACACCAACAGCGGCTCCATCTTCCACGTCCAGATCGTGGACCTCCTGCCGCTGGGCGAGGACGGGGAAGGTCCCTCCGTTGGGGCTCCGAGCCCTAAGCAACCGGCGAGTCCTCAGCGACCCAACGAGCTGGACTCCAACAACCGTGACGTGGAGGAACTCGAAGACGATGACGACGAGATCGGCGAGGACATCGATGAAGCCCCGAAGAAGGACGTCGCGAAGGAGAAGGGAAAGAAACCGGCAGTGGCTCCAAAGCCCAAGCCCGGAGACAAGGAGCAGGACACAGGGAGCAAAGGTCCTCGCGCCGAGAGCGGGAAGGGCAAAGAGAAGGACGTTGAAGAGGTGGAGGTTGTCGCCGATGGGGTTGAGGATGAACCAGAGGGCGAGGACATCCCCGACCTGGAAGAGAGGGTGAGCCTAACTCAACTTCAGACAGACATCCATGCTTCCCCGCTAGAGTCCTAACATCACTCATGACTAACGACTAATTGAACCGTGGATGACGTCATCGGTGACGTCGCCTGAAATATTTACGGATGACTTCGTCTGAAATATTTGTACATATTTGTAAATATTAAAGTTTTGTAAATGTTTGTTGATACGTCATCGGATGACGTCTTTGTCGAGTGCGATGGGAGCCATTTTTAAACTTGAACGTTTTATGAGATGACATGAAGGATGAAATTGAAGGGAAGGGAATTCTGGGCACGAAATGGAGAGGAGCACACAATGATTTAATTACTGTAGATTTTTCGGGAAAATATGGAAGAGCTAACACTTGATTATTGCGTAACGCACTTTTTCAAGGTTTTTACCAAAGTTATTTCCTTTATCAATGCTTCTTATCAGTGGGTGGTTTTTTGTTGACAGGACATAGGAGGCTCTTTTTGACTTGTCTATCCATTCTTTAAGAACGATTTGAAGAGGTAAAAAGTGACAGCGGCAAAATTCAGAGATGAGAGTTCGGCAAGTGTTATCCGCGACAGAAACTGGCGTGGGCCACTATGAACGTTCTTAAATTATTCATTACCTACTTATGAAAGTCTCATAAAAAGCGACCGTTTTTAGTCCACTACTTAATTATTATAATCATGGATCAGGGTGTCAAGTATTTTTTAATTTTGAAAAATCCTGATATTTTCCTGATTTTATTCCTGATATTTTATGAAAAATTCCTGATTTTTACATTTAGAAAATTCCTTATATTTTCCTGATTTTTCTCGACTCCTGGCACGGTAGGCAAAAAACAGTAAGACTTTCTCCGCTGAGGAGATTCGCGTAAGAAAAATTCCTGATAAAACGTCAGATTTTCCTGATTTTTTCCTGATCGGCCAAAATTCCTGATATTTTACGGTTTTTCCTGATGCTAGACACCCTGTGGATGCTGGAATATATCAGTTTTTAAAATGATCTGCCTTTGTCCATCAATAAGACAATTTGCCAGGCTCGGGGACTCTTCACTTTCATTATTTTTGTAAATTGTATTAAATCTCTTATTTACGGACTCCAAAAACCGGAGAGCCGATAAATGGTATTAAGACTCTAGCTACATTAAAAAGGGCCGTTATTATTTGCAATGATTTTTTCCCGCTTTGTTACGCGCACGTTCTGTTAAATCATGCTGCATGAGCTTTTTCTCTGGTCTGATAGAACGATCGAGAGACTCGCTCTGATGGTTCCGAATTTCTTTGAAAATGGGCCAAAATGAGAATCTGTTTTTCATAATTGTAAATATAGGTGTTTCTTCTTCCGCTCTCTTTGTAAACTAATTATCACGTTGAGTTACGATCTCTATTTTCCTTTCCCTATTTCCTTACGAAATTTTTACGAGAGATTTTGGACTTCTTTTTTTGCGAAACTGATGACTCAATTTAAAAAAAAAGCATGTCAGCATGTTTTCAATTATGAAACTTGGTTGCATTTTCTTGCATGGTTACAATTCTATGATGCTGATGCATGGCTCATCTTTAATAAACCAATATTATGCGAACGATTGAATCTCTTTCATCCTTACAAGACTTATTGTTAGTTTTTCTGAAGATACTAATACCTACTAGGAATTATAATATTTTTTCAAATTTTCCTCGACTTTTTCACTGATATTAAATTGCTTGATATCAAGCTTATTACTTAATATGAAGTATGAACGAACCCTCGCACTGCGCTAAAACTAAGCAGTAGAAATTGGATTCCATTTAGCGGAGTTATTGTGATTTAAATTACATTTGGCAACACTGCTAAAAAAAATTAAAGCTTTCTTTCAAGAGATGGGATCTAAAAATAATATACTTAAAGTGACAATTGGGAGAAAATGAATTCGAGAGAAAACCAACGACGAAGAGTGAAGTTTGCCAAAAAAATATCGCGTTGAGTACCTAATTGTGATCTTTGTAACAAGAAAAAGAAAAAAGGCGTGCCTCACATTCTAAGGGGAAAAATGAAAAAAAAGGGCAAAGTTCTTCACGAAAGCTTAATAGTTGTACAGTTTGTTTTCCAGCCGACAGCGATGTGTCAAATGCGAGGAAGTGAAGACGCGCATAACAACGCCTGCATGCAACTAAACGTACTTTAAAGTTGCCTGTATTGCATACCTAAAAAATGAAGGCGCACTAGGACCGTCCGGCGAACGCTGATGCCGCAAAATTGTAGAAAATCAAGAGAGCGAAAAAGAGTAAAAGGCACTAATCACTTTCACTGAATGATTACTTAATTATTGCGGCTCTGATGCTAATTACTTAGTTTTCGATTTTTGAGGACTGCAATAATGGTCGATCTTCAGCATTTGTGCGATGCATTCTGGGTACAATCGATAACTTCCAAATTTAAATTAATGAGTGGATGGATTATTTTGAGAAAATCGAAACTTTAATCTGTAGATCAACCATAAACATGAACGGTTCAGTACCTTTATGCTTGGGGGTACCATATGACTTCCAATTCTTCTATGACTAAATTCAGAATGTATGATTCTTCGTTGAAAAAATAAACTTTAAAAAATTAAGCAAAATTGTTTTTAGAATTGTCGATACATTGTGAAATTATGATTTTTCAGGAATATGCTGTTGTATTTCTACGCTAAGTTTTCTTTCTGTAAAAAATGTAAGGCAAATACCTCCATTAGCGAATTACTATCTTGCGGTATAAAGACAGTAACATTTTTGCTAAACACGGCAAAAGAGAATTTTCAAGAAAATGCCGGGGCTTTTCAGCCTGAGTGTGTTAGAACCGTTGGCAAAATTGCCCAGTCCGCAAACTGGCCTATAAAGTTCTTGCTCAGTGCGTGAAATGGACAGGCAGTCCACGGAATGGCCGGTAATATGTTTGAAAATTAATTACCCACGCCAAATAAGGAGCAGGTCGTTACTTTTAAAGGCTAACTCGAAGAAAGTCCCTTGCAAAAGCTAGGCTGAGTTGTTAGCGGCGCCTTGATGCAACAATTCGTGTTCCACGGATGTGCGTGTCGCATGTTCAAAAATTGAAGGCACTTTCGCTTTCAATGTAAGTAACCGTGCGTGAATTACATTGTGTTGTAGCTTCGGTTGCAAGACTCCTGAACGACTCATTTCAAGTCTGAAATGGGAACTGAACATTAGGTACCTGAAGTAGCATCTGAGGACTTAGAGAAGAGAAAGGGGTTTTTTTTTTTTTTTTGTTTCAGAAGTTTTCTCTCTCAGGAAGACAAACTAAATTGTCAGAAAGATTGGAACCTAGGGAAGCGAAAAGTTTGTAGGAATATTTTTTGCTCCAGTTTATTCGAACCAAATTGTGCAAGCATGAACATAAATGACGACGCCTCGGATACCTCGCAAAAGGAGAGGTGTTCTTTTACACTTCATCCTTTCACTTCCTCTTCTAACGTCACCACGTCAGTTGCGCTGACCGCCAAGACACCGAGGCACAAGACTATTCCGACTTCCAGGTTGCCCAAATTGCATACCTTCTAAAATGAAGGAGCATCCAGTTTCACGTTTGGACTATCCGTTGTTTTTGACTGGGATGGCGACTCGCGTTACAGGTGCATGAACGCTTTTGAGGTCAGTAGAGGATTCATCTCTTCTCTTACGGATAAAATCTCGAGTTTTTCAAATACATCTAGCAATGCGAGAAAAAGAGAAAAAATTGCAACATAGGTATTAACTTTACCTAACACTTATGTATGGAATGTGCCAGCAAGCTTGAACAACTTATATCCTTTGACAAAGCATGAAACGCAGTCTTCGCCTAAGGTTCCGGGATTCAAATCAAGCAACTATCTATCCACTAACCAAGAGAAATTCGACTGACAATTTTTTTCAACTTGCAGAAAGGGATTTTGCTGATCCACGTGCATTAGGAGGCTGCTCCGAGGCTAGCGCCAAGCCATGACAAGCAGGAGAAAGGGACACTACTTAGTTGGATTCTTTCAGCTTTAAATTTAATACTCTCGGGCAGTTCATACTGCTTTGTAAATAATTACTTAAGTATATGGTGAATTTGTAGATTTAATTTTTGTACGCACATTTTGCAATTCTCATTTTCCTCGTTTGGGTCAGGTTTAGCCCTAGGTACCGATTTCTTTTTTACAGTTCTTTTTAAATAAATTTTTCAAAAAATTGACTAAGTCCTCTAGTTTCAGTTTTTTTTCTTCATTTGTGTAATTTTTTTTTTCCATCAACCAAAATCAGAGTACTAAATGCGATGATTGAGAAATAAATGTACACGAAAGACATAAATCTTTTGGAGAAAAATAGTTAGTTAAGGCGTTAAGAGTACCGCACGATCTGGTATTTCTAACTTCTTGTTTCTTTTTATAAAAATGTATTTGAAAGAGGATTCGATTTTATGAGGCAGAATCATACCTCTGCAAATAAAGTTAACATATCTTGGTTGTCAAGGTATCACATACAAGGTGTAGCCTTACAAAATAGCTATATTTTGAGTAAAGTGGAAAAAGTACTTATTTTACTACTGAGGGTATAATATTTGTGTGCATTTTCAGTTCAAAATTCGCCTTGCCAAAGACACAGAACTGAAATACTTTCATTTGGCTTGTCTGGTTGTAACAATTGATTTAATATCATTGCAACCTTCAGATTTTTTTACATTAGATTCTCAAAATGAACAGATTCTTGGACCTTTCAAGAAGTTTTCATTAAAGAATGAGCATAAAAGCTGACTAGAAACCCTTATTTGTAGGCAACATTTAAGTATCACGACCTGTTTTATTCAATTTCAAGGAGAACGTATTGATGCTAGCATTTTGAAAAAATTTCATTTTGAGTATCGATAAAAAAAAGAAGAAAAAAAGAAGGGAAAAAAAAAAAAAAAAAAAAATTACCACCAGCACATAATGCTAGCAAATGCAACAAGTCAAAAACCTAACAGTCCACTGATGGTCGAGGGGTCTAAAAATCTATTCCAGTTGAAAAATGAGTGCCTGACATGCAGCTGAATTCTGTGAAGACTATTGTGAATGCCCCCTGATTCGGAAATATCACAGACACTGCATTAAAAAATACCGAGTTTTAAGGATACAACCTTGAGTGACTTGTTTGAGAGTCAATATCCACTAATAAAATTTCAATGGCGCTTTTAAGTAAGTAAATGGGAACACATGGGATGCCACAATCAACTTGGATTCCTCAGGGAAAGTTTTTCAGTGGAAGCTGAGAAAAAACTAATTTCAAAATGAGGCTCCTGATATCAGCCACGTAAGTAACTGTATGTACATAGTTCTTTATCCTCTTCTTATATTCAATAAAAGGCATTTTTCTTTCAGTAAGTTAATATTAATTTCTTAAAATCTTTTTGCAACAGAGTTTGATTTTTTGTCTTCTCTGATGCAAAATTGGTTTGACCTTGGTTCATTTTTCTTTTCTTTCATTTTTTCTTTAACAGTATGGTAGACACTAGTTGTACAGATTGGAAAATGCATGATTTTAACTGTAGCATGACTGATAAGTAAACTCTGGACCTTAACCAAATTAATTTTCTGTTGATAGAATAAGTTTTTCAAAACAAATTCTGTAGTGTACACCTATTCCACTGATGCCAGATATGACAGAAGAATACTGACTTTTCATAAATGACATTTGTTTAATGAAAAGTATGAGTGAGAATTCCTTCAATGATCAGCTCCATGATTCTTTACACACTGCAGTTGAACAGACCTTCAGAGAATGATACATTATTTGAAACTAGGGAATTTGACGACTTAGTTATGTGAAATTTAAATACTTTAAAGTTAAATACGATCACCTTGTGCCTTGGGTAGGTCAAGAAAATTGTGTGATACTCAAAATTATTGTCATCTTCATTGAATCAGAAATGGAATGAAAACACTTGGTTCAAGTTTCATTTTTATTTATTCGTTCCAAAGAAAATAACGAGTCAGGCTTAAATTTCTTTGTGATCAGTTAAAAAAGTTTCTCAGAAACCTTACGAAGTCACTGATCTGAATAGAAAAATAATTAATATCATTAGGTGTTAGAGAAAAAGATATACACCTTTCACTACTAATTAACTTTGTTCCAAGATTAATTGATCCAATCCTTTCTTTCTTTCCAGAGCAAGCAACAAACCGATTCACTTCTGAAAGCTGAGTCACGTTGGGAGAACGAAATCGACAACCGCATTGATTCATATCAGCCGTATACTGATTATCAGCCTTACTATAACACATACCGACCTACAGGTAATTACTATGAACCCCAACGGACGAGCCAACCAATTTACAACCATCAGCCAGGATTCAATGCTCACGGACCTCGATACTTCACCAGCAGACCAGTTTACAACACAAATTCGCCCAACTATAAAAGCTACCAACAAGACTACAACAGCTACAGACCAAATTACAACAGCTTCGATTCAAACAACAACCAATTTGTTGACCTCTCTGGCGACACCAAAGTCAACGACTTCATGGCTGCTCAGCAACAGGCAGGACTTATCATGGCTGATCCTGATGCCGAAATAATCGATATTCATAAGAGACCTGTTCCTAAGTTTCAGTACCCGCAATACAATTACCGAAATTATTGAATAGTGACTCACATTCGGATGTAAGGGGGGGCGGGGAACCACATGATGTACTTACTGCTTTTGTATAGGAGACTAACAAGCTGAAGGCTGTGATAAATTATTTCTGTAATAATAAATAGCTTAGTGTTCATAACTTGGCTTCTTTTTTCTTGTATCAACAAATGAGATGAGCATATTTTGACCATAAACTGGATCCAGTTTAATAGAGCAGCACTGAGTCACAAGATGTTTGAAGTTTTAATCCTTCATAAGGACAAATTTTATCAACAATTGTTACTTTTAATATACTATTTTTTCTTGACTTTGAAATTTTGGCGAGAGATAATTTACAATTTTACAACCCATTGAATTCAGAACTACTCCCAACTATTACTCTTTGAAATGCGACTCAGTGCAGTTCTTTCAAACTTTCTCCAACTGACCAATTTGTTCATAAAAAATATGAGTTGTGGCAATCCTTGGTAAATATACCTCCTGCGCCAAGATACATCTGATTTGAGTAAACCAAGTTTTAAAGGGAACTCAAAGCTTTTCAACTTGTGGATACAGTGGCATACATAAATATTTCACCATAGAAGAGGAGCCATTTGGTTTTACACAGGAGAAAGAAAAACTGAATGAAAGCCAAATAAAGGGAGAGAAGAGGAGGAAATATTACTGAAACTTTCCCTTTCAAAGAAGATTTTTCGGGATTATTAAACGTCTTGCTGCTCACTCGAGTATGTATGTGTGTCTGTTGCTTAAGAGATGTACAGATGCCAGAACTAGTCTTTGCTCAGGATGTCTTGTTAATTTGACAAGACAAATAGGTGTATTGCCAACAACCCGTGTGGCCAGATAATGTAAAGCCCAATTCACAATAGTCATTTTTTCATCTTACAAAAACGGACGAAAAGTGGGATGGAAAGTTAAATGCAAAAAAATTTGATAAAATTACTATTGCTGAGTGAAAATGTCAAACGGAATTCAGGGATCTCAATCAGCTTTTGGTTTGCACAGATACATCTAAAAATTTCGTCAAATTTTAATTTTTGATAATCGATTTGTCAATTTTTGTTCACCTTTCACGAAAAGTTGAATGTGACATCACATAAAAGTTTATCATCAACTTTCCATCAAATTATTGTATTCTCATGTCAGAATGACATTATTCAACTTTTTATTTGACAAAAGCAGAAGGAAAGTTGGATGAAAAGTTGAACTGTGTGAATTGGGCTAGACTCATGTTTGGGAGAATCCATCCAAAAATCATGCATGATCGTTGCATGAAAGCAGTTTCCACAAATTCCACATTCCAATACATTTTCAAATTTTCCTTGTCTGTGGACACTCATTTTTTGGAGCCAGCAGAAATAAAATTTTGAGAGAACTTGACTGAAATAAACAAAAAATCTAACAAGCTGTTATTGATTTTTCTTGCGTATGGTTTCCATTACTTAAAGCATTGGTTCCTTACAAAGAGAAATAGAAAAAAATTCTATTTGAGAAAGGTTGGAACAGCTCATGAGATAGTTTGCTAACTCACATTAGGATGTCTTCCATCTCTTTCACTGAAAATCTGGTCTGCAGAAATCTGACATTGAAAAATTTCCCAATGCTTTCAACTTTATTCTCCTGTGATTTTACTTGTTGCATCTCTGATGTGCAACGAGCCCATTATGTATGGTTACCTATCCTACATGTTGGAGAATGTTCAACTTAGTAAAATTGTTTCTTTCAGTCAAATTAATAAATGTTACATTCAGCTTATGCTGAGAAAATAAAATGGAACTGGGTAAGAATATAAACCGTACAAACCAGTTAATAATAAAAATCATTTATTAAAAAAAACTTAAGTCTACTCTTCATCCCTAACGATCGTCGTCTTTTCAGAAACATAAATACCGTCCAAAAACTTACGGATATCCTTCTTCACAACTTTGCATGACGTGTGGATTGCAGCGGCTGAAACAATGGAGAAATAAAAACTGATGTTAGCTGGAGTTGAAGGACATTTTTTTTGTGACGATATTTCAAATTAAAATACTGACGTTTAGGTTGCAATGTTGTTAATTTCCATTCACTAACAAAAATTTTGTTTGAAATCGTAAAAAGAAATCAATAAAAATTAAAACTAATTAACAAAGGTGACAAACAACATACCTACAGAAAAGAATTGCCAGGAAAATGAGATATCCTACACATCTATTATTTTAGAATTACTACCATTGCCCACATAACATGGGCTAAAATCACATGAAAATCATTTATCTTTGTCATGTCTGAAAAGTCCAACATCTCAAGACCAATAATTAGAAGAAGGAATGAAACCTTTTAATGATGCGAGGAATTTTTTTACAAAGTTTTTTTTCAGCAGAGTTAACATTAAAAAGTGGGTAGCAAACGTGGGTGGTTAAGATAGGTAAGTACACTAAAAAACTATAGAATTAGAGCATCTTTTCCCAGAAGAATGGTCTGAGCATAATTGAAATCAAATGAATGGATTGGTGGATCTCTCACCTGATTTGGAGACCATTTCAATGTCATTTCCTTGGATCAGTAATTCGTCCTTAACTGCTGTTGAGCTTGTGACAGTGACACCACGGAACATGTCTACCTTCCTGATGTGTTTTTCTCCTAAAAAGTTACGGATTTCTATACTTTTCTTGTTTTCTGAAATGATACAGTTGATGGGGAAATGGGCGTAGACCAGCCTCATTTTGTACAGGAAACCCTGAAAAGCGAAAAGGACAATTAGTATCTAAATTAGGCAAGAAAGGGGGTACACAGGTAAGGTATCCTAACAATTTCGGATAAGCTATCATAGCAGCTTCATTAAAAGGCAGTAACTATAAGAGGACTCTCACTGATACTTATCAAAGTTTGTAAAGCTTGCAAAAATGAGCTATTCATGGATGCAGGAAGTTCCCGACCGTCCCATTCTGAAAACCCGTATTTCCCTCAAAATAGACCCTTTTTTTTGTCCTAAAAATACAAATTGCTGCGATTTTGTGAGAAATGTGGAATTTTCACTATAATTGTCAAAGAAACATGCAATTTTAACGCTATTGCAAGCTGGACTTTCTTTCCACAACCTTTCCATTTTTTTTCGCTAGCTCTTGTGTGATCATGGTCATGGGATCTGGAAGTTTTTGCACCCCTGCAGATGTTGCCACATCTGTCAGCTATAAGGGCCAATCAGCTCAACTGACAGACATGCAAGGCAATAATGCTTTCACTGTCTGGTTACAGATTTCAGATAATGCTGGCTATTTAGGACAAGAACAACTTTATCTGAGAATACAAGTATTTCAGAACAAACATTGCCTAAAGTTAATCAAGGATTTGTTTGAACATCCGTATCAAAAAGGATGTTTCCTTAAGTGGATTAAGGTGCCTAAGGATCAGTTTCATTTAGAGAGATAGATACTAAAAATACCATGAAACGTAAAAATCATACAGCACTATCACAAAATGGAAAGATATTTAATTACAATTTGCTAAAGTAGGTATATGGTGAAAAGTAACCCCCTGACCAGTTTTAATAACCTTGTCAGGGGCATATAAAGCAAGCTTAGAACATGAGACAAGCTAAAATAAAGAGGATGAATTCAAATCAAATTTCTATCTGTTGCATTTGGATTCCCTTTCTTGTTTATAAACTTACGCAAGCCCAAGGCCTCAGAGCAGTAGCACTTCTCCCCTTCGCTTTTTAATACAAGTGCTCTGTTGGTATATCCTGATTGCTGACAACCAGCAGGCCGATTATTGAAATTTTGTGTTTTTCGGGCAGACATAGATGACACAGGTCAAATAGTCTAGCGAGATTGGTCCGCCAGTCTTATCACTGCTTTTTTGTGCCTTTGTCAGGTAGAATTCGCAACAAGCTAAAAGCACCTCTTGAGTTTCCAACAGTATGTCATCCATTCCACCACAGCAAAGCAACGGTAAGACATAGCCGGCCTATCACACTCCGCCATTAAACCTATGTCCTTCTGACAAACACAAAATTTTGATGATCAGCCCTCAGGATGGAAGTGATGCAAACCCAGGAGATTATAAATATCATACAAAGTATGCAAATTATGATTGAGCGGTGAAATGTTCACTTAATTGAGATTTTGGAGCAGTGAGCAACTAGGTAAGGTTTGAACTAGAAGAAAATGTCAAGTGTTTCCTCCTTAAAATCTTGAGTACTTAAAAAGCAATTCACACAACAGGAAATTCGGAAACAAACTCCAAAACAACGAACTAACAAGATCAAAAACAGATGAAATGGCATCAAATCATACAGATGAAGTCATTGATATTTTTCCATTTGAACCGATATTAATTGTTAACACCTGTATTTTGGTTAGGAGTTGATTTCCAGACTTCGTGTGGTGTAATTTGTTTTCCTGGATAATTTTGAAGAGGAAACAAATTGCATGGCGCTTTAACTTATATCTTGTCTAATGGCCCGTTCCCATTGAACCTTTGGGGGATCTTATCCATAATGTGTATTGGGTGCAACAGACTGATACAAAAAGTATACAAACCTTTGTTACTCCAATGATCATGTTCCGAACGTGGGCAGCAACTGTTCCTACGGAGGCTGCGAATTTCTTCTTTCCGAACCATTTTGTGATCTTCAGGAGATTCTTTTTTTCTAGGTAAATGTTCAAGACGGCATGGTTGAATTTTCTTGTGAGCTTGCCTCGAGGCCCAATGACTGTCACTGTTCGTGCATGAACAGAAATTTTGACATCCTTGGGGATTTCAACTGTACGGCTGGTTTCAATTACTCTCATTCTAGACGGGAAAAAAAGATTATTGTTAATTGATCTTTCAGACCAATGAAGTATGCACAATGATGAAAAGAAATTGATATTATAATCTAGTCTTCAAATTCTGACTTTGCATAGCCTACTAATCCCCATTCTTTGCCGACTTGGCTTGAACCTGTCTGCGAACAGTCGGCCTCTTCGAAACCTCCCCCCCCCCCCCCCCTCCTCAAGAGAATTTTAATGGCGGTAAAGGAATTAAATGGACTTCACTCAGCCAAAACACTGTAAAAATAGGTGGATATAAGTAAGGTAAAAATTTAATTTGATAAATTTTAGAAGGCCTGGATGGTACTGAAGATTTCAGTCTTGAAATTTCTTTCCTTCACAAAACATCCGAGTAATATTGAGGCTCCCTTCTTGGAAGTGGATTTATTTTGAATGAATCAATCCCCCATATTAGAAACATACAGGCAAGCGAAGAGTTCATAATCAGCAAAGGGTTTCATGAAAGCCTTGAGACATGATAAGCTCCCTCACTGACATTATTGAAATAGAATAGTCTATTTCTATTATTTAACAACAATAAAATAATTAAAGTTCAAGTTGATGAGATTTTAGTTCAGTGAAAAGCTGTAATTAATGCAAAAGCTGCATTATTATCTGCCTCACGGTAGGTAGCAGGCGCATAGTGAAAAAATGATCACTGAAGGGACTAAGACTAGTGGCGCTACTGACTGAGGTGAGCTTCGGCCTACAAGACTTTGCCTCTCTATACTGTTCTGACTGTGGTCTTGACCTTCCATCCAATTACTTTCCCTGGTTTTAAATATTCAATCACTGAAGAGTTTTCGCTTCAAGAGAATTCCCAAAGGCTCATTTCTTTCATAAAATAAGAAGATAACATCTGAAAATGGCTTTCTTGATCCACGCTGCTAGGCAAATAAAGCAGCTATGAAATCTAGCAACACACAGAGGGTCTGGGCACTTGCCTAGTTTGTACTTGAGGGGCTTCCATTATGATTTCAATTTGTTCACAATTTATATAAAAAAAAAAGGAGAAAAAGTGCTTTCAGTAAGTTGGTAAATCTACTAAAAATTCATCAGAGGGTCGGTTATCTTTCAGAGAGTAACATCAGCCGAAAGATGGTGATTAAGAAAGTAAATCATCAGGGAATTCTGATAAGCAGATGAGAGATTCAGTGCGACTTTGGCTTTATCCAGATTGAGGACTTCATACCTCTGAGGAGTTTACATATTCATCAGTTCAAAATTCATCAGAGGGTGGGTTATCTTTCAGAGAGTAACATCAGCCGAAAGATGGTGATTATGAAGGTAAATCATCATGGAATTCTGATAAGTGGATGAAGGATTCAGTGCAATTTTCGATTGGTTTATCCCGCTTTGGGGCATCATGCCTAGAGTTCGCGTCCATTTGTTCAAAATTCATCAGAGAGAGGGTTATCTTTCAGGAAGTAACATCAGGCGAAAGATGGTGATTATAGATGTAAATCATCATAGAATTCTGAAGAAATGGATAAGGGACAAGTTCCCATTGAACGGCTGATCTTTTCAAATCCAAACCTTATATACAGCCCAAGCTACGCCCAATACCATGTCTAGTAGGAACTATCTGTTATTTCTGATATTCATGTGTCAGCTATGAACAAACACTTTAAATGGTACATGGAAATGAATCGCAGCATTCAATGCTAACAAAGCATATCAAGCCATTATTCTCGGTTCTATTATCGAAGATACCAAGGGTAAGAGGGATTGTAATGTGTCCAGTTGGATTAAAGGTTTCTCCCACTTGGACAGTAAATTTCTTTAGCGGATGGAATTTTCAGTCAACAAATATACTAAGAGGAGAGTCATCAGGGCCCCTGAATGGTTGTAAAAATCTGTAATCAGATGGGGGCTGTTAGCACAGCGGGTGTTCTACATCCGATAGCCATTGTCAACATTTGACTATGATTCCACCCGCTGCTATTTAGCTTTGCCTCAAGGGCCCCAATGAAAATTACTGCTAAAGACAGATGTGAAACTACGTTCAGGTGGCGTTTAGCACCGAGCCTAGCGATGAAATCATTGGAAATTCTTTTAGGCATGGACTGGCTCCAGAGTAGATAGCCTAACCTTACTGTTTCACAAGTGTAGAGAAGGCAACCCCCATTGGGATTGCTGCATGATTTGCTTTGCAGTAAAGGAGTAAAGCCACTTAGAGTAGAAGCTGAAAGCGGTGACGGACTATTCAATTAGTTAAATGAGGGCAGAAAATAATAAATATAAACGAAAGTTGCTGCACGCAACGCGGTGTGCACGGCGCCAAAGCGTGGTAACTTTCTGACTTACATACGTAGAATTAAGCACTTGCACTGGGCTAGATTCGGATAAAAAGAGGATTCAGCACACTAAGAGATAAAAATTGTACTTTTAGAGTACAAAATTACGAGATAAAGACTTACTTGTCAATATAAAATTAAATAAAATGTGAGAAGAAACCAGGCTGGCATGGATGTCAACACGAGTTAAGAATGTCATCGGTCAACGCTGCGGCGAATTGCGATGAATGGTGAGCCAACGGTTCAGGGACTGAACTGAGCGCTCTGATTGGCTGTTTGTACCGGCGGAAGATTTGAATCTGATCTAATAATAAGAAAAAATTTGGATGGTTTAATTAACAGTAAATTAGTAATATTAACCAATGAACTTTGACTGATAAATATTTTTAAAAGGTGATATTAACTACTTTGTCCCTAAAATTCATTTAATCTTCCTTGCCATTTTACGGCAAAAACTGCCCAACAATTCAAAATATGGATCATACGCCGAGCCTTTCAAAAATATAATACAACCGTCCACATCATCTTGATATTGCCATAAAAATATTCTGAATAACTAGTCGACACAAGTTATGGAAGAGCCACTTGACACGCCCTCATCAGACATGCATAATTTTCCCAGATATGTGGTACTTATTGGTAGTCGACAAACTTGATACATAGTTCTTAGTAAGTGGCAAGCAACATATCCATTTGTGTTTGAGAAAATATGTAATTTTATAACGATCTTTTTGGGCTCACCGCAAATGTAGCACCATTTGATACCTGTGGATTGGGGCTCAATTTTCCAGTGTGGACTTGCCGGCCTTCATTCTCATTGAGTCACTTTTGTCCTTTTTTGCAAAGTGCACATGGAGAGCTTTCTCCAAACTGTGGATAATAATGCTTGAATACGGCTTTGAAATTAAAATTGATTGAAACACACAGTTACTTTCTGAGGACTTCTTTTATTGGAATTCAAACATAAAAAATAATAAAATATATAAAATAAAAAAATTAAACATTTGCCTAATTATCAGGATTTATCAATAGAGGATAAATGTAATACATATTGAAATGTAATATGTAATATGTAAACAAAATATCGAACCAAGCAATGATCGTTTCTGCGTCCCAGTTTGCAAGCTACAAAACTGAATGAACTTTACTAATTTTTGTGATGCTTCTTTCGAGAGGCCTTAGCTGAGAATATTTTTCAGTTAAGCTTATCATGTTGCAAGTCTATTTTTCAATAGTCGCGAACATTAACATGTGTCTACTCTAGTATATTAAATGTATCAATAAAAACACTGGTTAAGAATTAATGAAAACCAGTGTTTTAAATTCTATTTCAAGCTTGATTTCAGATTTGAATTTTTTTGTTGTTTCCCTGAACTTAATTAGAAAAATCACATTTTCCTTGAATGCTTCGACTCTGAATAATAAAATATTCAGATGGCCCTGCAGGATAATTGATGGTTGTCTACACCATGGAAATTTAGATTTTGTTTCCCTATTTTATTTTTAGTGCAAGAATGAATACAACTGAAGAAAAAAAATTACAAACTATACACTTTACTACAAGTTTTCAAATCATGAGGTGAACTTGCTTAGAGATACAAGATACATATAATAATTACATTCTTGAGGATTACTTACAACACTTCACTAAAAATCCATCACAGATAATAAAAATGCATTCCTCTCTGAAGGAAATGTCAGGAGGTGACCATTTGGAAACTCACTTAGAAAAATGATTTCCATGCATTAAGGACTGCACTCACTTACAAAGATAAATAGAATGGAGAGGAACTTAAAAAAGACTTTTTTCTCTAAAGTTGAGGTACGGTTAATCCACTTCAGAACAATCAGTACTCTTCTTTCGTTGTAGAAAAAAAAGAGTCGGGTAATTCCTTTTTAAAAAAACCTCTTCCGTAAATACGACTAAAAGCCATCGATCTCAACGAAAACTCATATCATTCAATTTCTGTTCCTCAAAGCGTAAGAGCACTCGAGGGACTATCACTAGTTTGCTATGCAAAACTCTGAATTAGGTTCAAATACTAAATTATTAAATACACCTCTCAATTTTTTCTACGAAGTGTTCGCAAAAGAGTTCACAGGGGTAAGCTCTTTTATAAACTCAGTCTTTATTCTTTACTTTTAAATCAGTTACTAATTTATATTTTTCCAACAAAGTATCAACAAAGTTTCTTAGATTAATACATTTTTAAAAAATGAAAGTAGCTCAACAGGGTTGGTTCAAAGTGATTTGCTAAATCTTAAGCCCTTCATGAACCTCATCTCTTCAGCAAGTCTTTTGGGATCATCTTATACTTTCAGTTGCACTCATAACGGACTTGAAAATTGATGGATCAATTCTCAACTAAAAAAAAAAAAAAAAAAATAAAAGAAAAATAGCCCTACGCATCTGTTACTGACTAAAGCTTTTGGCAAAAACCTGAGCTCAATATGCACTTAGGATCTCTGACCAGACTTGAATTTTGGTGTAAATTCCAGAGAGTAAAGAGAGGTATGAACTCTAAAATGTGAGCAAAAACGAAAGAATGCTAAAGAAACATTAACTTTATATTTTAAGTTCTTTGGAGGAGAGTGACAATAAAATAAGGAAAAAATTTCCTTGTGGTAATAAAAATAATCACCTAACTTCCTAGTCCAACACCTTTAAAAAATATTTAAGAACTATCAAAATCAGAGCTTAAGATGAAAAGTTAAGGTGCATTCAGACAGAGAAGTCATACATAATTCGGGACTTTTAAAAAACCTCTTTCCCATGGAAAATACAAAAACCAAATGCAATAACCAAAATATGGATTCATGGGAACTTCTTCGTAGCCAAGAAAAGTTAAAATGTTTTGACACTTGTTTCTCCTCTTGGCCACAAAGAACAAAAAAGAATGCCTTAAATTACAAGCAACATGAAGTACTGAAAAGAGCAGGAGTAAAAATGGTGGTGAATAACATCTAATTGACATTTAACGGTAATAACAGCTCACCAAAAATGAAAAAGATAGCACGGAGAGATTAATTATTTGGCCTGGAACCACCTTTATATCGACCAATATGGCAGAAAATCCGCACCCACTGTCCAGGCTGATTAACAGACTGTCATTGATACGGGACAAAATTACGAGTTTCAAAGGGTTGTGATTTCTTCAAACTTCAGAAAACAAGCCAAAAAATTTGGACTATCGACACACGCTTGAATTGTCTAAAACATTAAAAACATCAGAAGTGAATCCTGATACTGTCAATAGTTTAGTTTCAGGGATGATTGTACATAATTTTACTGAAATGCTCCCCAAATTTTGCTAACAGATAAAAATGCACATCCCTTCAGACTCAATCAAAAAAAGGAAGACCGTAAGATTGTGAGATGCCAGACTCTACAGAGACAGAGCTGTTTAAAGTGGTTACTGGTGAATTAGACGTCAGTGGCATTGGTGCGAGAGAAGAAGATGGAGAGGGGGAGGCAAGGGGCAGTTTCTGCTCCATGACCTTCGAGTACTGTTCTTGCGTAAGGTTTAGCGTACATGTTTGTTGACCATTGCTGTCGGTGACGTAGGTGATCAGGTCGGAGATAGCCGGGCCTAGGGCAGCAAACGCATGGTTCAGCCAGTCTGCACTTGAGAGATCCTGTACGCAAAAAATCAAACCAACAAGGTCAAAGAGAGGATTCGTTGGTGGATAGCTTGCACAGTTTATAAAAGGATTGTAAATAAATAAAATAAGAAGTGTTTTGACTCATCATTTTACTTGAAAGGTTTCATTAGCTTGTTATTTTATTTTTGTACGATTTTGAAAAGCAATGAGTTACCAAATTTAAAATGTGTGCCACATCAGATTTATAAATCTGATAAATTTGAACTCATGAGGCTCATAATGACCAACTGTGAGCAAAATTTGAACAGATTAGTTTCTTTTTTAAATTGAGTAGGGGCTAATCCAACGCTTAAGGCTCCCAGCTCTAGGTGACAATCGCCTGAGAACATCAATTACGGATCACCTAGTCAACCTTAGTTTGCAAGTTTTAAAGGTTGCTCCGTGAAATTTGTCTTTCTTGAATATTTTCTCAGGATGCCAAAAAACAAAAAATTAGAACAAGACAGCACAACTTATTGAATAAATTATTCAAGTTTTTACAAGTCTCCTCGCTGTAAAATTGTCTTACCTTGAGTTCACACTTGAGTGAAGCTACGTTGCGAGTTTCGTGGGACTCAGTGAGCTCAGTCTCTGTGGTTGCCAAATTGCAGCTGTTTGTGAGATCTGCCAAGTCCTCACGAGTGGTTTCAACTTCAGCGGCAGCACAATTCGTCTTGGGAAGGATTTCACTTCTTCCTTTTTCTAAATCAAAAACTGGTTTTGATACATCTTTTGGTTGCTTTGTTTCCTAAAATAAGAAAAAGAAAACAAATTAGAACTCCTCATGACTTCAATTGTTTTGAACCAAAAACGAAAACAATGAAAATCACCATGCTCATAAATGTACATATTATCATTTAGAGTACTCCATCGAACTAGGTATTACAAGAATTCAAATCTTAAATAGACTCTGGAATAGAGGGGAAACCAGTTGATTACAGTGTTTTCAAAACCAAGCATGTAATTCTTTGCTTTGAAAAATTCTAATTGTGCATGAACAGGAATAAAATTTTCACTATTATTTTTATTTATTTATTTTTTTTAAATGGAAAACAAAAACTATTTGCTATTCCTAAGATGAATGTGCAAGATTTCTGGTTGGATTTCAAGGAGTTGGTTTTTATGTAAATACAATCCGAATAAGCCTAATACTTTCATTGTTGTGACAAGAAGAATGAAAAAATATAAGTGAGACTAGCTAGAATATAGTCGTATTTGTTCGGAGGCAACTCTCGCAACATGTTGTGAAAACAAGCAACAATCGCATTTTGTTCGAAGTTGTTTTGTGTTGGGGGGCAGAGCTTATTTTCATGCACAAAATTTGGGAGCCCCTGAAGCAACATTGTTGTACAACAACTGCAATATGCTCAAAGCAAGTCGTTTTTATGTTGTTCAAAAAAGCAACGCTGTTTTCCAACCTAAAATTAGAAGTTGCTCTTTCATTGATTGTTCAGAATTGCATTAAAAAAAAAAACAAGAAAAAAACGGTAACATTTTGTTGTTTCGAACAACACGTCTCATATACCTGTTTTGATGATATTTTGACTAGTTCTTTGTGCTTGTTTCTCTGATGCTGGAGCAGTTTGGCTTTGGATGCGTACTGTTTGTGACACCAAGGACATGAGTGGGGATTGGATGTTACACTCTCTACCGTACGAGAGTAGGACGCATTTGGTACTTGGTTCGCATTCACACTTCCAGCCTGTTAAAAAAAGAGAAAATTAGGAATAAGGAAAGGAGGTATTTAGCTTGTCTACCAATGCCTTCCAGTAAAATTATATTGTTTAGAGGCTAACTGGCTGTAGAGTAGTTGTGTCAAGTTCTGCGATAACCAGTGGCGTGGCGTGCTTTGCGATATATCGATTGATCGCCATTTAAATGCATGGAAAAGGATCGATTATCAAGGTGTTGGCAACGCACACCTTGATAATTGATTCTTCACCACAGCTTAAAATGGAGAAATATCAATAATCGATCCTTCACGCCGCGCCACTGGCAATAACTTGTGTAATAGTGTGGCAATCATACACCCATATAATTGTAGCATTACCGGGGGCTGAACAGCATATCTGCACATGAACACTTTCAAACCATTCCATGAAAATCTAACTATGAAAACCTAGAAACTTATGAGAGCTTACCCTCAATCTATTGCTGGATGGTAGTTCTAAGCCTGGATGATTCTTTAGAATATGCACTTTCCGTTTAGAGCTACTTTTGTAAATCTGAAAAGAAAACAAAAAATAATAAAAATGATGTATCACCTAACTGATGAAATTCTGAAAATAAATTGAGGTCTAAAAGTTTGTATGAATTGATTTGAATTAAAAGTTAGAATTTAGAAGGCAAAATTTAAAAAGACGTTAAAATAATGGCTTTAGAATTTCAGCTGTGTTCCAAAGGGTACTTCACATTGTCAAATGTGCGGGAATGATCTTAAAGAATGTTAACCTTTTGTTCAGCCAGTTTTGACTAGACAAGGTACAGAATAATGACAGTAAAATTTCGGCCTGATTACCGAGAGTTGTTACATCAAAGATTTTGAAAGATCAGAATGAATCATTAGTTGCGCTGATAGAAAGTGATTTACAGCGAAGACTGGAGCGATTATATTTTTACTAACTACCTTGAGCGGGAAAATGATACACAAGCAGTCTAAAATGAATTCAATAAAAATTGAAGTTAAAGTAAAATTTAATGAATGAAAGTCAACAGAAACTTAGATAAAATCATAGCATCCTCCTTCATCAGACTCTGTAAAGATAATGCGAAGTAGATTCAAAAAGGCAGGAGAATGAAAAGAAAATAGCAGCTTTGAAAAAATAATAAGTCAGATGAGCCTTACCTTATCACAATATTGACAATAATAATTGCGCCTAGTTTTCAAAATGGGTAGACTCAATTCAGGCACGGAGTCAGGTGAAATTTCAGGGTGCCGGTTGGCGAGATGATTGACAAGCATTCCTCGTCGCTTGAACCCAACCATGCATGAGTGACATTTGTAAAAATACCTATTGTAATCAGCAGTATTGACCTGAAAAAGAGAAGGGAAAAAAAATGATTGTTGAGATTTCCTGGGAAAAATCAAACAAACAATGTTTGTATTCACTTTCAAGAATTTTTTGAGAAGACTAATACCTGAGATATGGTTAAAAGTAATGATTAATACAAGTAATTCCAATAATTATGTTTAAGTTTTATGTATATTTTGATGCATTTCCGACAAGAGCTAGTAAGTTTTGCTTACAGCACCCCAAACCCTAAAAATCATAACACCAGGAAGTGCAGATGTTTTTTATTCTAAGACAAAAGGACGAGTATTTCTTGAATTCGAAAAAATCCTGGTATTTTTCATTCAATTTTGATGTTTGCCACACTAAGAATTGACAGGAGCCAGAGAGTCATTTAAAATATTCAATATTTTAGGCTGCTTTGAACGGCTTTTTATTCTATAAAACAAAAAAATATACTCACGACAAGTTTTGGAGCAAATTTCTTAGCACCATTAGCAGGTTTAGAGGCTGTCTTGATGAAACGGCCCTTAGACTTTTCGCAAGCCGCAGCTGAATGGACATGGTCCATGTGAGCTTTGAGCTTGTCTTTGCGTTTGAATTGTCTCCCACATTGAGAACAGAGAAACTCGCGATGATCAGAGTGCCGGAGCGAGTGGAGACGCAGTTTGTCTGGCGTGCGAAAGGCTTTATTACAAACAGAGCAGACCAGCTTTGGTTCCGAGTGGAAGCTACGAATATGCTTCCGAATAAGTGTGTACTGCTCATATTCTTTTGGGCAGTGTGGGCACTTGTAAACTCCATTGCTTCGGTGCTGATGAATGTGTGCTTTCAAAGGAGTTATTTTTGGGAAACTGGCTTTGCAGATTGGGCAGTCAAACGTTTTATCCGTTGCTGCAAAGATAGAAAAACAAGCAATTTGATTAAAACATAAAATTTTGAAGAAGTAACTTAACTTAAGGACTGAATATTGGAAAATCAAGAGAACAAAGTGATGAGTTCCGTTACTCCTACGGCAAGTGTTGTGACTAAAACAGACACAGTTACTGCATTGCATGTGTTACAAAGGCAAGTTTCCAAAATAAACTTTATCAATTGCAAACCATACACCAAAAGATTAAAGGTTTTTTAGGGGGATACTAACTGCAGCTTTTGTCAACATTTCTTTTTTGTATTCCACAATTGCAGCGTTGATTCACATAATTTCTTACAAGTGAGTACTCAAAAACAGGGATGAATTAAAACAAATTTATGAGAAATATTCGCTCAAGGTCAGACGATTTTAGAACTCCTAAAAATTTTTTACTAAGTCTTAATTTTCAGCTAGACGTAGGGCTAAGCTATTCTAGACTGGGGAGGCTGAGAGAGTAGGAAATGTACTTACTGTCGTGGTAGTTCATGTGACAGACAAGAGCTGAGTGACTGAAAAAGCGACGAATGCAGAAAGAACAGCCAAATGGTTTGGAGTCTTCGCTTTTGTGAATGGCTTCATGACGTTTCCACCTATCAGCGTTGGCCAATGTTTTATCGCATCGCACACAGTAGTAAGGAATAGTGCCATTCCAAGGCACACAGTGTGTTGCAACATGTTCTGATAGCTCTTGTCTGCTTTTGCATTCCTGATAATGATAAGAAAAAACCACTTTAGCATAAAGCTACATTAACTTTTATCCATTAATCGGACTCTTCTTTATTTTGAATGATAAGGAAATTTTCACTCTGGATGCTATATTCTTGGAGGACTTTGTACTTGCCAACTTAAGGTAAGTTTGGAAAAAGTCAAGTTTATTTTGGGAAGAGAGGCTCTTTTAGAAGGGAGGACAATAAGACAACTTCACTGAAAGAAACTAAATTTTAGAAGAAAATTATCGTTAGCTTCTTTTCTTACCACAAAAGCAAAAAAAAATGAGGAAGACTTAAACTTATGTGGTATTTCCTTTTTTGTAAATCAAATTTTAATCATAATAGCAATTTAATTCTACAATCATTCATGATTAAAGTCTGGTTGAACTTAAAAATCCTAAATCGCACAGGTCCATTATAAAGTTCGTTTAATCATGGAATTCATCTTTGGAACTGTAGGGTAACTGTTCTTGAGCTAACAAAAAATCCAATTTTTGGTTACCTCATGACACTGTGGGCATACCCACAAAGCCCCCGAAGTGTCATCTTTCTTGGAAATGGAGTGGCTAATTGTGTGCATTTCATACAGCACTTCATTAGGGAAGACGAGGCAACACTTGTTACACTGCTTCTTTGTGCCAGGACCTCTGTTAACACACAGAATAATTGAAGTTAATCGAACAACAGAAAAAAAGAGAGGTATTGATATGTACACAGAAAAAATTTCTGAAGAACCTCCTGACGGCCAATATTACCAGAGTTCTTAAATCACCAGAGAGTATGAGGTTTGTTTAAAAGAAAAGGTTATTCTTGATGCAGGTGCTTTTGGGAGAACTGACGTAAGACATTCAGCTCAGTAAAGGAGGAAATAGCTGACATTTTTAACAATTTTAGATTCAACCGAACATCCACTTGGTGTCAAAAACACTCAAACCCTGTTGTAAATCAACAAAGTTGCTGATTTGTGGTGTTGATTGTTCTTTCTTGATATTAATATAGTTTCTGGAACTTAATTAGAGTGAAAATAGCAAAGAATATACGACTTTCTGAAGGAAAATGTTCAGAATTTTTATTAGCCTGTGTAATATGAATTAGGCAAACTATGCGTACATGATGACTGCATAATGCAAGCGTCTTAACTCATGAAATTTTTTTTTAAGTTTAGGAGACTGTAAACTTCTTGTTTAGTGAGGCGGCAGTGGCTCCAGATGTGGGTAGATTTAGGATTTGACACAACACCACTTTGACTTTCAGAAGTGAATAAAACTTACAGTTTGTCAGTTGTTAATTCCGACTTGTTTTCTTTGTCGGAGTCCAGACGTTCACTGCTTTCTTTCCTGAGAACATGAGAAAGGACTACATCGGAGATCACCTCCTTCTTTTGAATTCAGAAATTTCAGATACAATTCAATGTATTTCAAATGCACTTCCCCTTTTTTTAAACTCAAGCTAGTTTCTAGAAGATTGCATACACAGTGCTGCAAGGTCTTTGCTAGTGTTTCCACCAAAGTCCTTGAAACACAATAAAAATTTAGATGCTAGAACAAGATAAGAATCTTCATTTACAATCATGGCGATTTAAGCAAGAGCTGATCTGTAAATTGTGTTCATGAGAAGTATTTCATGATTAGTTAGGAGGCCAACCAAAAACTAAGTGAGTGCCTGCATGGACATGAACGCTCAATGCTAAATAGTATGCAGCTAATATGAACTGTTTGGCAATGAACAGATCAAATCTTATTTTTTTAATAAGCTCATGAACTCCTTGAAGTAATTTAATAATTTTGGTCTACATTACAAGAGTCTTTCTACAGTTGAACATAGATTTTAATATTCTCGCACTAAAAGCGAAATTGTATGCCTTCCGTTTTCTTTCAACTTTCATTTTTAATTTTGTACTTTGATATTTCAACAGTTGCTGATAAGCTTGAAGAGAGTTAAAACTTTGGGAAGAGATCACCACACTGAAACCTTACATTGAATATTCAGAGAACCTTTACCTTTACTTTTAAGAGCAAAAGTACAGGACTTCAAATTTATCCCTTTTAATCATTTGATTAAAATTAAGAGCGAATACTAGTTTCTTACTTTTTTGGAATGCGAGATAAAGGTATTTCTTTACTATGTTCTTTGATATTCTTCCGACTATCAGATTTCTTATGGGAGGATAAATGCTGCATCAATCTAGAGTAACGGCGGAACTTCAAGTCACATGAGTCACATGCAAATTCCTTCTGAAAAAAAATAAAAATATTACAGTTACAAATAATTAATAAAGTAGGCTCTTTGTCAGATAATCACTGTCCTTTGTTAAATTATGAATTACATCATATTTTTAATACAACCTTGATATATTAAAGCCAGGTACACTCAATGTACGATTCACAAGAGAAATATTTCAAAATTTGGAAAAGAGGAAGATAGATAGATATTGATTATTTGTTTACACTGGTAAAATATTCAAAAAGATAAACTACCTGATTGCTCAATCCAACAAGTTTGGATTTCACTCCTTTATTTTTTTTCTTTCTTAGGAACTTAGAATTAGAGGTTTCTGCCGACTGAAACAAAACAAGTTACAATTTAGAAATCATACGAGTTATTACCAGATGACACTGATTTGTACACATTTTGAAAATAAAGGATATTGATAAAGTTTCAACAACCGGAATTTGGATTTCTATAATTTGGCTATCAATGCACAATCATCATGATAAGAAACTCATTACAATCATTATATTACAGCTTTAAGCGCGCCTAAAAATCGCCAAAAATTTTGCGGCCGATTCTGGCAAAAATTGCGGGTAGGTGGTCAATTGCCAACAAATCCACATTTTCCGACAAAATCAGCCATCACATCCCTGTTTAGGCCACTAGTAGATCTGGAAATAGTTCAGAAATTACCAAAGCATAATTCATTCCTTAGACTATAGACCCTCAATGAGCAAAAAATCGTAAAATGGAAGAAACTGAGCTTAAGTAGGCCGAAAAACGTCGTTATCAATACCCCTCCTTAACTTTGAAATCCACCCTTGCATTAAATCATCATAAACTACTTTAACAGGCATGTACCTCTTCATCTTTGGTTAGTCCTTCATCAGAGTCAAAATTGCTGAAGAGCTGATCATTTTCTTCAGTTAGATCTTCCCGATTATCTGCAGTGCCCTCTGTAACAAAAAAGAAAGTTCTTTAGACCAAATAAAGTCAAAGAGGTAAAGTGGAGCTTACATGATTCTAGGATTAAATCTTATTGTCCTAAAAGTTAAAAGGAAACGACTTGGGCTTTATCAGTGTATGATAATTATTCATTAAGAAATAAAATTTGCGACTGTCACTTCTTAATTTCCCACCGTAAAAATTTAGACTGTTGCATGATTCAGGGATTGCCTTGAGACTGGGTGTTACTGAAGTAAATTTTAGCACTCCTAAGATTTACAAAGGTCAAAATAGTAATTTATAATAAAAAAAATAGAAGTTTAAACTTGCAGTAATGATAAAAGAATTTCTCATTGGTTTGAAGCTGATGACGTCATATGAGGCAATGATTCATGATTTCAACCACTGTAAATCCAATGTAACATTGCCGCAATACAATTCACATCATGAATTAACTATTCCATTTCGAATAAATGGCAAAAATATTCACTTCGAACAGTGATGACACAGCAAATACGGTCAGGATACATAACCTCTCATTACAATATTGCGACTGACAAATTAATTAATAAACGCGGGTGAAAGGATACACAGAGGTCAATGCTTTTTGAGACGATACGAAATCTGTTTGTGCAATATTTTCCTTTTTAAAATGAGGTTGGATTTTTGGAGACTTGGAAAATCGATTTCTCAGCTAAAATTTCACAAATTAAAAAATTCAAGAAATTCCTTACCACTGCTTAAATTTGGAAGATTTCTTTTGACAGCATAGAGATAGCTGTACCACACACGTAGCTCTTGCTTCGGGAGAATTTCTTTTGTTGTGATAAAGAACAATGCTTTTCCTTGCTGGCATAACCGCAGATTTTGGTTTCTACTACTGTCTGCTGGCCTAACAAATTTCATCCAATTGGACGCTTCTGCAATTGAAATTAAGAATATATTTTAATCAGATATCAAATTTGGATAACAATTCTAGAACTCATTCATAATGAAATTTTTCCCCCTCTCTTTTTCTTCTTTTTTTTTCCATTCTTAAAATCTCAAAATCTTTTGTATGAAGGGCCTCCATTTGAACTGTCCCTTTTGATTTCAATCTTAATAGTTAACTAAATGTATCCATCATCACTTCATTTTTTCTACAGAAGCTTTTGAATATAGATGGTGAAAATACGAAAAAAAGAGAGAACAAAGAATGAACACAAGCAAGCATGAAAAACATTTAAAAAATTCATTTAAATTTTGGATGGCAGCACAGATGATGTAAATACAAATTTGAATTTTTTTTTTTGTTGCATGGAGTAAAACTCTGCTAAGTTGAGGATTTTCTTATGGAAAAGTAAATGTGCATCTGAGGTACACCGTCTGACCAACGACAAGATTTTTACTTGTGGGATTCTCCTGTACATGCTTCAAAAATATGTATCTTTTTCGGTGTTTTTTGCTATCGATAGTGTGATAAGAGGCTTGAACGATTTACCTCCTGACTACTTCCCTGTGAAGAAAAAGCAACTCCAGTAAAAATGAATTAACAAAGCAATCGAGGTCTCAAGCATTAAAGTGTACCAACGGAAAGAAAAAGTTAACCTTACTTACCATCATCTGAAACGTCCACATCAATGAATTTTTCAGGAGATACCTCAATTGAAAATTTCAGAAAATTTTTCAGACTGCCTGATGATTTTTCGTCACTTGGAGTCGTCAGAAAGTTACCTTCAACCGGCCCAAATTGTGTTCGTTTTGGAATGTGTTTGCGGGCAAATACTCCCATGATTGATTCTAAAGAAAAAAGCGAGAAAATGAAAATATTTGTAGTTTATTAAAGAACATAACTAACAAACTTCAGTGAACCTTAAAATTTATTTGGATTTCATTTTGGTGTACTGAAGTGCTGCAGTCAAAATTCAAGTAATTATTCAGAGCCATCAGTTTCTTGCTATATGACTGACGTTAATGAGGTATTAAACTGAAAATGATCTTTGATTATACCAATACGCAGTCCAGAAGGTTTCAGTATGATTATTGTTGAAATATGCAATTATGTTAAATCATAACCAACAAAATTATTTGCACAAAAAATTACTCTAAATATAAGATTGGACCACTCGACAAGATGTTATTATGATACATGTAACCGAACCCTTGTAGAGTACCATTTGCGCAATGAAAATTATTGAAATCAACTCCTAACTAGGTAAGATATTAACGCTTAAGTTTACATTGATTACAGGAATCTTGAATTCCCCGCTTATAAGAAAAACAATAGTCTACTTAGATCAAATTGTGCACCACAGTGGTTTGGGCAGGCTTTTTGATCAAGAAATGTTCTTCTCCCATCTTGTGTTGATCAAAGTGTTAAAAAAAAACAACAGCTGAGCCGAAGCACCGATATTGAGGTTAACATATTTTCATACCGCTGAGACTGTTATAATAACATTATGTGCGAGATTTGACTCAGGTAGACTGTTGTTTTTTCATGAGCAGGAGGTTTGAGTTTCCCCATCAAAATACGTTAAATACATTAGTTAGGAGTTAATGTCAGTAATTTTTGCTGCGCAAATTGTGTTCTTCATGAAATTGTACAGCGGTAGAACTATTACATTACTTAAATTTGTACCTTGTCTAGTGATCCATTGTTGGTAAGGAGATGAGTAAAAGTTGATAGAGGTAAGGGTTTCAACTGCAAAAAATCAAAGAGTATATTAAGAGAACTTACCTTTTCTACTGGACTGTTTATCTGCTTTCAATTCATTCATGAACAGGTATGTTGCAGGAAGAGTAGCCCTCGCTCTTGAAACGACTGGCTTATCGTAGATGGTCTGAAACTGATGTTTGATGCACTCGGTTTCGTAGAAGCAATTGCACTCTTCACACCCTTGAAAAATAAATTTTAATTTAGTTAAGGAAGTATCAATCATTTTACCTTTAATATAGTTAAATTGATGAATCAATATATTTTAGCTACGTCATTGTAAATAGCAAATTTTGCTTTTACCTATAGTCAATTATTCACCCACATGCATGAAAAACCCACTTTTTTATGGTAAATTTCAAAATTGATCACCAGGTTCTCTAATTTTGAGAATTATTCTGGAAGTGATTAAACTCTGAAATAATTGCTTCATCGGTTGTCAACACTTGCACCATAGAGAAAACTTGGAAATCAGGAAAAAAATCTAGATTTTGACATGAAATTTCAGTTTTTCCGGACATTTTTCCAAAAAATTTTCTCCATGACAATATACTACTCCACTTTTTTCAAACGATTTCCTAAACTTTTCTTTCTCATCTGTATTTTCCAGCTCTATAGAAACCTTTGGGTGTTTTTAACTGTTAATTATGTTCTCTAATACATTTTGAATGAGCCTTAATTTGAACTTGAGAAAGGCACAGAAAGAAGTTTTTTATTCATTTGAAGGGGTTGAATTCAACTACAAAATAGACCCCTGCTGAGTCAAATTGCAGCAGGATCAAGCTTGAGTTTAACCTGAAATAGTTGAGGACAAGTGAGATGAACACCTAAGTGAGGATATTTGTTTGAGTTAAACAGATGCAAGTTTGCTCACAATTTGAATTACTTGGGCGAAAATTATAAACATTAATCTTATGAGAATCCGGCGGGACTGTGCAAAACTTTGACTTAACAGAAAATTTATCTAATGCAGCATTCGACTTAACAGGAGTTGACAGCAGTATTCCACAGTAACACACCTATATTGTACTCTTAAAAAGAACCACTAGACAAGATACAAATTCAAGCATCATTATGCATATTTCCTCATCAAAATAGAAGCGAATATGTGTAGGAATACATAAATTCGTACCTTGCCTAGCGGTCCATTCAGAACAGGAATTTTTAGTTAAGACACTTACAGAAGGATGAGGTATCTACACCAAGGTCTGCATCTGATGGAGATCCTCCTAAATTTTTGTCCCTTTCAATATTATCCAAAGAAATATTCTTTGAGAGAACATCGGATAAGTTGTCATCATTCAATGTGGCTGAGGATTCTTTGAGCAAAGAGCCATCTAAAAGATCCGTTCTAGAATCTACAGAAAATGAGCTGGAATCGAGACTAGATGATTGATTCCATTTTGGGTCTGTAGAATAAATTCACAGCAAAATTAAAAACATGACAACACAATGATGCAACTTCTGAGTTTTTCTTTTTAAGGATATCATAAAATTTGTTTTAGCCTGAACATAAAGTTGTGTCAACTTCTTAGAATTGATAAATAAAGGCACAAACTTGGTGTGCTGTTCATTATATGTCTGCTAAGATCACCGACTGGCTTTTGCTATCACTAGAAAAGAATCATTATGATACGAAAGGATTCTCTGTGCAAAACTACAGATATACGTATGACCTTCCCAAAATTTTATAAATTGGTTGTAACTTAAACCGATAAAAATGTTCAATACATGCGAAAACAATGTTAAAAAATTCTAGAATGACAATGTAGGGGAAATTGAGGACACAGTTTTACTGCCTTTCTGTCATCCAAAAATCGCAGAGCTCCGCTTCTGTTCATAAATGCTGTTAGAAACTGAAAAAAAATATTGGAAAAATGGAAAAAGATAAGGAAAGCTATAGCACATGCTTCATAACAATAAAAATTTGAAGAAAAATAATGTTTACCATGAGATTTTTCGACTAAAATGGATTTAAGGTCCGCATCACTTTCTAAGGCAGCTTCGTCCAAACTGAAACGTCCCGAATTGATTAAATACTCTTTAGGAATCTGAAAATAAACAGGCAACTTGTTTTGTAACAACTTGTTTTGAAGAGGTTGCAAACATTCTTGTGAGATATTAGGATCATAAAATAATGACTAATTTTTTACATAACTTCAACTGCAAAAGTAAAATATGCGTAACTGTAAATTCCTTTAGTGCTTCACCTAGGCACTTGCTCTTTCTTTTATTGAGACCAGCTGATACTCTGTGAGTTATGCTTGCGAAGGGGCTCCCTCGCTACTTGTCAAAATATAGTAAAACCGCAGAATTCTACTTACCTGAAGCACTCGAGATGTGGGCATGGAGTCTATGAGCCCATAGGCTATGTTACCATTGCTTAGCAATAACTCTATGCGGCCATTGGACTTGCTTGTTGGAAATATGGACGCTGCATCTTCAACTGATATCAACAACTAAACACAAAAGGAAAAAAAAGGTATTATAATAGAAAAAAAAATATTGAATAGAACTTTTGATCCAAACCTTTGTGGACGGATTAGGATAGTCTAAAAACTGAGATTTGTTTTACTTTGTTATTGGTGTTTTCCATTATACTAGATACATTCATCATCTAGCATTCAGAATTAAGTTTTTGCTAACATTCCACAAACATGTCAAAAATACTTAGGAATCTTCTCCCATCATTAAAAAAATTATGCAACACTGATCAACTGTTCCCTTCCCTTTTAAGCGGCATTTTGAGATGAATTTTGGATAGAAAATTGTCACTTGGCTCAGATTCTCTGTTGAGCGATTCTGGTATTACATAATGCAGCCCTGGACTTCTCTCTTTCCTCCGAATTGACCTGTAACACAGGCTCAACCCCTTTCCCGTAGAACATTATGTATTTTGAAAACAACACGTATCTTAAAGTTTTTGGGAGACTTTAAAAGAGTAAACAACTAAAAAGAAAAATATTTCCTAAAAACTTTGGATAAGTATTTACCTCTGAAGAATTTAATGAGGCCGGATCTAAAAGAAGTTTATCAGAGGCCTCTGGCAAGATGGGTAAGATGTACTCAGGGTTTGAGAAGTCTTCCACATGAGACGGTTCCAGATCAGTTAGCTGAGTGCCTCGCTGCTGGTAAAACGTGTCCATAATGATAAGCTGAGTGTTTTGCTCCTGCGTTGACTCTCCTGTTGTGGTCGGTGGAGTTTGAAAAACATCCAGGGCACCAGACACAGAAACAGCAAAACTGTCTGAGAAGCTCGATTCGCCCATTGAGCCAATACTTGCTCCTGCAATAAAAGTATGTATTAGCAAAAGAATACACACACTTAAATTCAAGCAGAGAATGGTAAAAATGGTACTCAAAACTGACGGGTGCATAAACCCTTAGAAACTGGTATTTGGATTGTAAAATCACAAAAACCGCATGCCTTGATTTTCGTAGGTTTTGAGGGAAGTGCCTTTTATTTGACATCAAATTATTTCGGTTGAAAAATTCATGAAAATAGTAATATTTTCACATTCCTATTCAATGCTAGTTAGTCGAACACATACATCGTATGGGTGCCAGCGTGAATTTATCACACTGTATGGGAAAGGGGTGTTTGTGGACTGATGAACACAAGAAAAGAGATTTTGTGGCATTCACCCTGATTTCTAATAAGTAAATCTAAATACACCAGTCTTAGATTGGCCTTCAATTTATCAAAATCTGCAAAGAACCAGCTCTGAACACAGATATTGATTTCACACATTTCAAGATAGAGAAGCTTTCAGCCACTTTCATTTTGAGCAGCTAGGCAGTCAACGAATTAGGCTCTTAAAATATTGACAGTCATGTAGATGTGTGGGCTCCCAAAGTTAGACAGTAAAAATGTATTTTCCATAAAATATGCTGGAATTCTTTCATTTGCATTGAGAATCATACAACTAATGATAAGTACCTTCTGGTTTTGAAACAGGTGGGAGAGGAGAGTATCGAGCCATCGAGTCCAAATTCGAGACAAGAGGGCTTGAGACGCGAGGTTGATACTGAGGCAATGATTCTGAGACAGCTGGATCAAATAACGAGGCATTAGAGGGCACGGCTGCTCCTTCTTCCACATATTCAACCTGAAATTAACCAGAAGCTTAAATAAAAAAATTAAATAAAAAACATGATAACTGTGTCAAAAATTACATATTATATATGTACTTTTCACCACTGAGAAACAAATAAATAAATAATTTGTGGACAGGGCAATTTTTTAATCTTTTACATTTTTGCTTCTTTTTCTACTCTACTTTTAAATGTGGATCTATGTATTTTGTTTATACCTTGCAGGTAAGATAAATGGAAATACAAGGTTCGCCAATGATGTGGATAAATTGTTTTCCATCATTAATATAAACTTCGAAGGATTCTGCCTTTTTCTATTTCACTCGAGGGGAAGTGTCCCCTCCCGGACTCTCTTCCCCACCCGGTGACTGACGCTGCGCTGTGCTGAACGGTTCAGCCTGAACCTTTCCCCTACGTCTGACCGTTCCCCACTCCTCTGTCAATCGAACCATATGCCACCGCTTACGTATTGTCGCTCGCCCACCCAGGTACCTAGCGGCCAGCGGTCAGTTGATGATAAATCTCGCTCATGCTCCTATGCAGCTACGCATTGATTACGCCAGCTAATTACTTTCTAATAATTAGAATTTCTTCGATAATAGTTTTCTTTATTTATTCGACTGTATTTTTTTCTCTGTTCTACTGTGATTTCCTTGGTTCTCTACTGTGTTTTTCCTAAATCTCTGAGTCAGAAATCTGAAGCACTTCGGTATGCACCGAGTACTTCAGATGTGACCGTGACCTGAAATCTTCGGTATATACCGAACTACTTCAATTGTCTGACCCGAACTTCGGCAGATGGACCTTAACTTTTCGGATGCGTGATCCAAAAACTTCAGAGATCCATATGATCTCAGCTTCGGGTTCCATGCACAAATTTTTTTCTCCGTGTTTCCTTTTAGGGGACGCAACTAAAATTTCAGTAAATTTTTTTCAGAAAAGTAAAGAAAAAAAGAAAAAAAAAGTGGCTAACGATGGTTCCTCACCTTCACGTTGTGTTGGCTGTTTTTACTAAGTGGGAACCGTCCATTTTAAGATATAGTCTATTTCTTGCCCTGCCATTATTATTCTATAAGTTAATTGTGGAGTGAGAATTTCATAATGTTTTCTATGAAATCTTCAAAATATAGTGATAAAAAATTTGCAACTACTACAAAATCGGCTCGCTTCGCGAGCCGAATGTCACTCGCGTAGCGAGTGACCGGGGGTCCAGGGGGCGTAGCCCCGGGCTAGGCGTGACGGGCGCGCGAAGCGCGCCCAGAACGGCTAGTAAATGATATAAATAAATAATTGGCATTGTACAAGGTGACTTACAATTTGTTGTATTTTAATTTCAGTTGTTTGAGAACAAATACACCTATGAACAATGATGTTGAACTGCTGAAGTAATGAGACGCATGATCAGTTGTAAATGGTGTCTGCCATGGTGGGATTTGAACCCTGGACCTCTCATGTCAGAGGCAAAAGCTCTACCACTGCACCATCAAGTGCTCATGCAGATCGCTCAGGTAACCACCTACTCACAATCTTAAACACTAGTCTAGATAAACTTACAGTCAGGAACAGTAACTGGGAGGCTGCTTTATCATCGACGGCTGATGAGTTTGAGGTGGGAGGCCACAGTTCCAGCGGCGGCACGAGACATTTATCAATCTTCATAGTCTGCCCTCCTCCGACCATTGGCCCACAGCTGCCCGCCATTTATCAGTTTGTGATCACACTATCTAATTCCTAAGGGTAAAAAACAAAGGAGGGGATTTTAACATTATCAGACTACTTGCATTGAAAAAGGATTGACGATGAATTTGGTCCTGCATAAAACCAAAATATTTCTGCCTCGATCCAGAGGTGCTAAAACTCCAATTCTATACAATAAACGTGTCACGCAGAAATAGGATAATCTTTAAAAACAGGTCATAAAAACGGGAAGGCTACAAGAGGTGGCCTTGAAAATTAGACGGCTGGCCTGCAGTAGTGTAGAAATCTTGTGTTTTGCAAAACCTTCAGGTAAAATTGTTGCTTGGCATTGGTTTTAAAGTGGTGCAAAGCAGTGGCAGACCTTTTCCCTTCGACAGCACAAAGGGTCAAGCACCGTCCGTCACTACAGTTGAAGCCATGATTTACGAGAAGCTGCAGGTCCCGTTTACAAGATATGTAGAGCAAATTTTGAATTTATGCAACCACAATTTTGGGATCTTTTCTCTTAGACAAACCAGCCGTAAATAAAATTCTGATAGCTCTTGGTGGGCAAAGAACTTCAGACAAGACTGAGAGGAAATAATTCCAGGTTTCTGTTAGATCTTTCGTGGTTCATAGCTGATTGCTTCATAAGAACCCAGCAAGAGAAATTATGATTCCTACGGAAACTATCATTGAATGTCTTACTCAGGGAATGTAAACATTAGGAATCAGACGAATACGGTTATGTACCAAGGGGTTACATTCCGCTAACGGTTGGGATGGAATGATTGTGAAAGCGATTGGGCAGTTCAAAGTGTACAATTTGGGCAGATGATCAGCAATGATGGCTACCTCAGGACGGAATGGGGGATTGGAAGAAAACCATCAAAACCATGGTAAGAACTTGACTAAAAAATCAATAATGACCTTATCAGATAAGCACAAAATGAGCTTCAAGAGAACTGATGGGTAAAACCGAGGAATGAGTGGGGAAAAGTTGACCTTCCGAGAAAGAGATCCATAATTTGAGATCCTGAAAGACTTTCTGAAAGATCAGTCCCGATGGGGTGATAAATTGATAAAAGAAAATCGTACGGCTGAGAGCATACCCATTGCAATTTGGTGAGTTTCCAGTTATCAGGAAGGAGGAACTGAATTCATGATGGATAATGAATTATGTAGATGAGAGCATTCACGAAGGTGAGGGTTTGTGGAGTTAAATTCAACAGCGACACTGTGAAAAACTGTGAGGAAAAACTCGGAAAATTAGGTGAAAATCACGAAAATTTTGGTATGTAAATAAAGGAACTTCGAACTTCTTCAGTGTTGGCGCCAACAGCGCTGCCTAGCGGCGAGCTAGAAGAGCAGAAAAGAGCGGGAACCTCTTGGATTTTCAAACTGACGGACTTGTGGCGAAATGAGCGCCAGCGCCAGCGTGCCACTTGGTTGGCCCTGGCAACCAAACGAACTCATATCTACAAGTAGAATCAAGCGTGCTATAACATTCTGAAGCAATTTCTACGGGTTTCTTGCGCGAATTCAACTGGACATGAGAGATGTTTAGTCAAAAAGTCAATAACTCGGAGGGTGATAACATGAATTTGCAGACAGAACTGATCCAGGATATGATTCAGGATCTGCTTAACAAAAATGTGATTGGAGACGAAGCTCTTCATCATCTCAAGCAAGATCAGATGAAGACTTATGAGCCAAACATGATAATGGATCTGAGGCATCATCAGGCAAGTCAGTCAATTATTTTACAATTACACACGTCTTGAGGAGGAATCTATATCTATCTAAATAAATAAATAAAAAATAAATTAATCTCTCTCTACCAAAAAAACAGTGTTCATTAAGTATGTTAAGGAATTGAAGAAAACAGTACTTAGTTTCCTGACACGGATCCTGTTTTATAAGATTGATGCACCTCGAGTTCATCCCTCATTTCAAAACTTTGTGTCACTCATGTCTCACGAATTTCTTATTTTCCAAATCTATTCTCACAACGATAGCTAAACTGCGAAACCTTGTATCCTCCGTTTCCGAAATTGCAAACTTCCAGTCATACTTCATATTTTTTTTTTAAAAACTAGGCAACATATATAAATTCTTGATTTTTCCTCTTTGTTGGCAGTGAATGTTTTGAATGAATTTTAAGCTATACCTTAATGTTGGCTTGTTTCTGTTTGAAAAAATTAAATAGGAACAGAAACTTTGAAACGACACGACATGATTTCGCACTTTGGCCGTCGATACGTAGCTTTCGAACATATTTGAAAGAGGATTCAGAAATTAAGTTGTTGCTGAATTTTGACAACACGTCCTTCATAACATTGGCTGTTCAGTCTTCTCCAAAGTATAAAGTAGTGGAAGTTAAATTTGAAATAGTAATATGTCAGGTTAAATATTTGACCGATTTGACTGATTTCAGATCAGAGAAGAGCATAAATTGAATCAAGTGAAAAATCAGATCCAAGAGGAGGCAAGGAGGTAAATCATACTACTTACCCTATTTGACTTGCATACAAGATATATCAACGGTGAAACTACCAAACCACGTATCTCGGTTTGCGACGTCGCAGACTTCCTGTCATACTTTATTTTTTAAATGAAAAACTACTTAACGACCAGTCTTGAAAATTTCTGTGATTTTTCCTCTTTGTGCGGAGAAAATTCTGTGAAAATTTGAAGGAATGATATTGATTTGATCTCCTTCAAAAAAATAAAATGTTAGTGTAGATTTTTAAACACCGCAAACGAGATACGTGGTTTGGTAGTTTCACCGTCGATATCAATTCCACCATATACCGGCTTGTCAGGTTTTGAATCTTTAAACAATTCTGAGGAGACATTATCCACTAAGGTCTACAAAGAGATGGTCTGTCACCCTTCAAATTCCAAATCAGTGGAAATAAATAATTTTTTACAAGCCGGAAAGGCATGCTCATTTGATGTTGTATCCTTTTCAAATTGTTTAGTGGGAAATTTTTTTCCTTGTCAACTTTACGATAATTAGGCGTTTATATTATAGAGCTTTTTGAGCTGCGGATATAATCTGAGAACATATAAAAATTAGCACGGAAAATTGTGATCCAGCCAATCTTTGTTTCAGTATCGGTGAATTTTTATTTTCATATTACTTAATACATTACTTATTATTACTTATTACATTGACTTCATTTTTTGACAATGTATCCTTGGTTCAGTTTGTCTGTTATGCCAATTTTTGGTTCTGCTAATTTTTACATTTTTATCTAAGACTACTGCATGTTCACAGGTTGATACAAAATGAGGAACAAACAGAGAAGGAACGGGTCAAAGAACTTCGCCTGGTCAACAGAGAGATACTAAAATTTCAAAAACGACTTGAGACAGAGCACAAGAAACTCATAAACGACTACAATTGGCACCGATGTACAACAAAAAAGATATGGACAGTCAACGGTAACAAAGCTGCAGACCCAGTGATGATGGTAACAGCTGATAAAATACGAACTGACAACTTAAATGTTGGAAAAGATCTACATCTAGAGGAGTTTTCTGATGTGCGAACGCTGAAAGTTTCAGAGTTCCACCACGAGGAACTTGAATGCGAACAGGGTAACAGAAACTTTATTGAGGTTTTAATTAGAAAAACACCTGGAAAAATTGAATCTAACAATAGAGGTGTAAATACTGATTTCAATTGTGACACAAAAAATACACGTGAAGATGTACAGCTATCTGAAGGAGAATACAAAATAATGAACAGAGTTTGGATCCAGTGGATGAAGTTCGTTCAGCAAAAAAAAAATTATTCCAATCAAACTCTAGAAAATGAGACACACCTTGATTACGCAGAGCAAGGCACTAACATGACTACTTCTAAAGAAGAAGGAGAACCTAGAATTTCATTACATGATTATGATGCAAGCTCAATTTGTGAAAGTAGACAAAAAGTTGAGGCTTTAGAAGATGAGATGTGTGATGAGGATGAGGAGAACTGCGCGAATGAATATTTTTTCATGCTATTTGAGCAAAAACGTGCTAATTTTACTTTGCGCAGATTTTTCAGAAAATGGAAAAATTGGACACTACAAAAACGCGAACTGGAACACCTGCAAGCTGAAAGGCAACAACGAGAGGAAAAAATCAGGAAGTACATAGAGCTGATTGCAACGAAACAAAAAACAGTTAGCGAAGTGAAGTCCAAGCCTAGTCCTAGTTTGGAAAGCAGTTTTCTTACAGACATGTCTGATTTCTCAGACAGTGGTTCAAAAGTTTCAGCATCCAGCAAAAGCACAAATTATGGAGAAAAATACAAACACCGGTTCCAAGCGCAGAAATCCATCATAGCATCACAAAAGTCCAAAATTGAAGACCAGAATAAAATTATCGAGGATCTAAAATCCCTGCAACTGAGGCTAGAGGCTGAAATGTCCCAGCGAGAATCTAGTCAGAACCTTAAGGCCACTTTACAGAATTTTGATCCACGCCACAAAAGTAAAAGTGCATTTGTACAAAGGGCATTAAGTTCTGACAGTGGTTATAGAAGCATTGATCACACAAGCGACAACAATTCTGTAGAACATGACAACTCGGAAGAACATACAGAGAAAAAATCTGTGGCTTCAGAAATGGTGCGAAGAATGGAGAAGCGAAATGCTGAGCGGAAACTGAAAATGCAGGCAGCACAGGAGCGTAGGAGGCAACTAGAGGAGGAAAAGTTACGCAAGGCGATTGAAGAGGAGGAGATGAAACAGAGGCGAGAAATAGAGGCAAAACAAAAGAAAATTGAAGAAATAAGAGAAAAACAGCGGCTCGAAAGGGAGAGGGCAGAGGAGCAAATCAGAGAGCGGGAGATCTTCCACCAGAACTGTCAGATTGCGGAGGAGTCCAATAGGAGGAGACTTTTGACCAAGGGTCTCCGCAAACTCCACTACAATGTGCTCACCATAAAACGAGATTCATTCATTGCTGATGATAGCTACAAAATGAAATTAAAGCAAAGATGTTTCCGCACTTGGAGGCGCAATGTTAAACAAACTGTTGCTATGAAAATTACTAAAGCAGAGCTGTTTTATGATCAATGTTTAAAACGAAAAGCTTTTCAACAAATTTTTGAGGTGAGCAAAGTCCCTTCCTACCTTCGACCTACCATTACCCTTCAAAACATTTTCTCAGGAGCTAAAATCTGAAAAATTACGAGGGAATTTGATTCTCTCATGATAAAAAGTTTAGTAGGAATCCACAGGTGAAAGCAGGCAGGGGGGATTTCTTAGACTGACATCACTTGAAGTTGTAGGATGCTTTAGCTCAACTTTTGTAAGGAAAAAACCGAAAGAAAAAAAACATTTATAAAGACTCACTTTTAGTTTTCAAGGGACAATTTTTTCAAAGATATCACTCAAAGGATTGAGCATGCAATTATTCTTTGTTTTTAGAAATGGTTTTTCGAGATTGTCTAAAATTACAAGAGGATTGCATTTTGCAAAAAGGAACCAAGAGCATTCCAATGTTGCTAGGATTGTGCAATTTACATTCCTTGCAATAAAATTACTGAAATCTTGCAAAAAATTAAATTTACAAGGGTAATTTTGGTCTTGAATTTATGATTTATTGAGAGGAAAGATAAAACTTGTTTAGATGATCAGTTAATATTTGCTTGATAAAGAAATTGTACAATCTGATCATGTTTCCTTTTTTCTCGTTTATCACCAATGTTTTTTTAGATCTATAAAGACTACATTCAGAAGTCACAAGCAGCAGATGATATGTATGACATGAAAGTTCAGAGTAAATATTTCAAACGATGGTATGACATTTCATGCCAGGCTTATTTGAAGATGCAAGAGAAGATGAAAGTAGCAGCCAACTTCCACGACAGGTAACACGATAATACTCAAACAGACTCAATTACCACTCAAAAGTGAGACTTGCAATGTAAGTGAAGAGAAAAACTTTCTCTCGATTCACTGTTGAGATGCAGGAAGAAATAAATGATCTAGTGTTATGACTGTGGTCACAGCTGACACCACAGATACACTTGAGTATACTTGACTGAATCAAAGGGCTTAAAAAATTAATTAAATAGAATTAGGAGGAAGCTCATGAGGAATGGCGGTTTTGATGCACTCCTAACCTCCGGCAAAAATTATTCCCACCTGACAAAGAGCTACATAAACATTGTAAAAACTACATTGCATGGGCTTCTTCATCGCATTATTATCTTGACATCTCTATTCTTAAAGTGTGAGGCAATTTTTCAGTGGTATAATGTGAGAATGTTGCTAAACGAGCATTTCAAGAAATTTTACAAACAGATGGGAGATGTACAATTCGAGACTCTCTTCTAATTTAGATTTAACTTGAATGAAATTCTGGAAATCGAATATTTAAAACAAAAAATTGAAACAAAATAACTATGGAATTTCAAGGGAGAAAAAAATCCTGGCAGATTTAAGTAGATGGATAAGTATTTCTATCTTGCAACAATTTTTTCTTGAGGACAATGTATTTGCTCAACTTTTTCTAAAAAGTTGGCTGCAAAAAAGAATTGTTTCATGATACTTGATAATAGTACCTTCAAGCTCATAAAAGCCTTATACTGTGTTGAGTTCATGCAATAGCTTGTTTCAATTTGTTGTAGGCGTATTGTGAGAAGCAACTTTAATCAATGGAAAAAGCTTCCGAAAATTATGTTTGAGGAGCGCGGTCGTGAGAAACGACTCCGAGCACTACGAGAGCGTGTCCAAGAGCTCATTCCGGATTATTGTCCAGTGCCATTTGAAAATGAAGACTAAAGAGAAATCAAAAAAGAACTATTCTATTTTTTTAAAAACTTGTATTTTTTAGCCTTTTAGGTTTGAAAATGGTAACAAATTAATTTTAAGTTAACAATCACAAGCATTTACTATCATGACAAAGGCAAATTAAAAGATCTTCCCCCAATTTTTAAAAGTAGGATATAAAGCAATTTGACTGGACGGACGCAATATGTTAAAGTTAGGACTTGATTATGATCAAAATGATATATATTCAATTTAATACATGAAAATTCGGGAGGAATTCTGATTTTTTTGTTTAGATCAAGATGGTTGTTATGGATAAGTGCAAAGAATCACCTAAAATAAGTTAACAAAGTGAAAGGGAAAAAAATGAGATTTCGTTGCATTAAATGCACTTGACTACTTTATTGCATTGGATAAGTACCTTTGTTGCATTGAAATTCTGCTTCTCTTTCTTCTAATTTTTTTAATCCTTTGGTCGCAAATAACTCTTCACCCTTGTTTTGAGGTTATATCGTCATGATCGTCATGATCGTCATCATCTTAGTTTAGGAAAAAAAAATCGAAGTTTTTTGGAAACTAATTTTTGTGCCTATCCTAATTCATGCAAGCATTAAAGCCAGCTCAACCACATCCAGACCGTTAGGCGTACTCCCCAGAAATGATTGTCATCTTTGTCACAAAATAAACCATGATGTAAATCAGGATGTAAAAATTTGGCGATAAATTCACCAAAAATTAAACTGATCTGTTGGTGTCACATTGCTGAGGTGTACACCTAGAGAGTGTCATCTTGTGAGGGTAAGCTAGTTTTACCAAAAATTTATCACAGGTCACATTAAGTACAAACAAATTTTCATGAGACATCTCAAGAAAAATACAAAAATGAAATACAAAATAAGTCTTCCTACAAATAATGTAAGAAGCTAGTGCACCCAGCCCTTCTCATGATAATCTTATTTTAAAATATCGAAAAGGAGACAGTGATAAGTATAATAGTTACTTAATGTTAAAGAATACAAGTTATACCTATGTACATCAATCAAAATGTTTAAATTTCAGACCAATCAGAGAATGAAAAGACTGAGTTCAGATTTTACTATCTTTTTATAAATACACAGCTTTTCAATAAGTTGCCTACTTTTTTCCCTCCTTTGAAATACTTTGGATTTGACTCTTGGAAAGCTTTAATATCTCAGAATTTGTGATACAAAGCCAGTTTAAATGAACGAGGCCTGGCTTAAGGAAATATTCCGATGATGAAATGCCCTACTCAGTAAAAATTATAGGGAAAAAAAGAGGGACTAAAAATACTGTAAATGTGGAGAGATCAATCGTTGCTCTTGCTGGCAATAGGTTTTGATGCTTACACATGTTAATAAGTCAACAAGTAGTCTCCTTTCAATGCATAAGAGACAAAAACAGTTTGGGAGTTAGGAGGGGAACAGAGCTTCAATATTTATTGTAAGTTTAAAAGGAATGAGAAAGTATTAATGGAAAAATTTTCTCTATACATAATGAGCATTCCTATACGATAAACTCAACCGACTCAAGCTGATTTCAAACTTATTACTTTTACCTCTAAGTAAGAAAAACATTCTTGAAGCAGGAAAAAACTTAGTTAAATGTATGCATAAAAGTAAAAAAGTGGTTAAACTTTGAAATGGGTCAGCGACGAAATTTTGTCTTTACTTAGTTTCCAATGGCTGAAATGATTACTTTTAAAGAAAAATGGGAATGTTGATATATTATAAAAACAGAGGATTTGGGTCCCTGTAGAGACAATAAACCTAAATACATGCTTGATTTTCAATGAAAAATACTAGAGAGGAAAAATAAGGGACCTAATAAATTAATTGTTACTGGTTTACTTACAACTTGGATCGAGAGGATATGTTATTGATTGCTTCTTTTATGACATTCAGCGGATTTGCCTAAAGGCAAAACCTATAGGTCAACAAGACTTTGACTTAGATCAGCATCCGAAAGATTCAGTCTGTTACTTAAACCTGGACAGAAAGTGAAAATTTTTGGTAAGATGAAAGTATCATCAGCCTAATCAAGCACAGAGGAAGTACAGAAGGGAGTAAATAAAAAAAGATGGGTCTGAGAAGCAATAACATGTTTGAAAATACTACACACACAATGAAATAAATTGTGAATTAAATTTGGAAGAGCAAGACAAGAATGAAGAATTTGAAAAAGCATTCGCACAATTGTTGGAAAATAGCCAGTATAAAAACATTAATATAGGGTTACCTTAACAGGAAATGTTGGTCGAACAATACTAGCTACTAGCTAGTACAGAATGTTTAAAATGGTTAAGATTTTTTTGAAAACTTAGTAAAATATTTGTTTCACACACAGGGGCAGAATATCTCATCATTGGGTCATACCTGAAGCAATTCCCTACGATAAAATACTTTCCTTACATGATCTCTGCTTGATGAAGATGTATGTAGATACATCTTCAAATGCAGATAAGACAAAATGCAAGGATTTTAGTTGGGATATGTTCTTTTTTTCTCAAAAAATTAAATCCTTTTTTTTCCACTTCAAATATCCTTGAGGGAATAGTTACACACTTACAATTTCTGAAGTCCCATCCCCCTCAGTCCCTAATCAAGCCAGTCCCAAGCAACCATTGTTAGTCTTTGGCCAGAAATAAAAAAAAATACACATCACGACATCCTGATTTGATTACCTGTAAGTCTGTTTGCTGTGGAAGGCGTAGACTTGATGAGGAATAAGAAGTCCTTCACAAGGGTATAAACTGTGATGCATGTTAAGAGTAAAGAATATATGCCACTAGCAAAACAAAATGCAACCCTGAAAAAAAGAAACATGAATGCTTTATTTTTCAGAGAAAATAAGAGAAAAAGAAAAAAAAAACACTCTCTCTTCCTCAGAGGAGGGAGAGAAAGAGGCTGTAAATAGCTCCATAGACAAACTTTAAAACCTTGTGCGTTATCATAGACTTTTAAAATTTCCTTTCCTCTTTCAGTTTTTCAAAAAGAGAGATAAAACCTACATATTTTTTAGAAATTGCTTAGATTAAGGTAAGACTAGAAATCTTTAACACTGCAATTAGAGATGTGTTGTTCTTTAGTCTTGCTAGTGATATGGTGAGACATATGCCCTAAAAATTAATGTTTTCCTAACCTACCAGGTAAGGAGAGATACAATAATGGAAAAAAGAAACTTTTTAGCAAGTCCCATAAGTTTTTCTATCATCCGAAATTCAAGGAGGCACTCTGAGAAAGTTTTCAGAACTTTGGTTGACTGTCATTTAGAAACGCAGGTACTTCCCAAGAAATCGTACTTCTTTGGTAAAACACCAAGAACTTGGTTTTTGATCCAAACAGAATACATCATCCACTTATATAATGAACATAAGAGCTACTTACGACAAATCATAATAGACATCACTGCAATCATCTGGAAAATAGATATCAATCCCAGCTATCGAGAATAACAGGTGATAATGACAAGCAGAAATGATGATGAGGTACGTATAGAAAAACAGTCCACATGCCAGCAAACTGAGACCTATGATATAGAAGTCAAAATTCTTAGAGCTGATATGACAGTCAAGCCTGGAAAAAAACCAAAAAAACCCAGTCATTTCAGAGGTTGAGAGGAAGCTTTAATGGCTTTAAAAAGCATGCCTAAATACTATCATTCCACTTGTTCTGCTTTCTGAGCTTGAGGGTCGTCAATACTTTTCTTTTTTTTTTCTTATGATGAGAAGGATTCATTGATTTCACCAAGCAAAAACTATACTCTAAAACTGATTCAGAGACATTTGTGCTCCTAATTTAATATCAGTTTATCTGCCTTTGGTAATTGTTTTTCAATGCTCAATGGTGATTTGACATTTGAATTCAGAATGAAGTTTTCAATCAATTCTTCAGTGAAGGAGACTGCAGTCTCACTTTCCAGCTACAAAGTATCTTGTTGCCTAGGGCTCATCTCCAGGAATTGTACTCAGGTCTTTGTTCCTTGTTCATAAGATAATAATTACATGCACTCTAATTTGATACAACTGCAAATTGCCAACCAATGGATTTCTCCTAGTGGGTTAGTCAATCAGTGCACAAAAATCTGATCAGCTGTGCTCCAAACCTTAGTAAAAGTGAGTCAGCCTGATGTCAAACTATGTTTAGTCTGACGTCAGGCTGACTCACTTTTACTAGGGAAGGCCTTCGATAAGTTAAGATAAGGCATTTCCATAAGAAATGCTCATGATGTTTCCGTGAGGTGGAATATCACTCACCATTGACAGTACTGTTGTTTTGAAAACGTTAAAGCTTTGCAGAAATAACAGCGTGTTGTTTTGCAGAAAGGTAGCATGCCAAAAAATGGACACGGATCAGGTGTCAAACTGGACCATTTCCGACTTGCACTTTCTGTATCGATGTTTTCCCCAGGAAGAAGAGCACTGCAATTACTTTTGGTGCAAGGAGAAGACTGACATATTTGAGAGCTTAAAAACTTGGAATAAATAAGACAGTAAAGGGCTAAAGATATCAGTGATAGGAATAAAAAATTCTCGCTGGAATCTGTCAAAAGTAAAGGACTAACAACAAATTCAAAATTGATTAGAATGTAAATGATAGACGTAATGAACCAAATGAAGAAAAATGGTACTGTCCTATTCAGTCTATTAACAACACAAGTGGTGTAATAGAGGCACAAAGATATGGTCGAGAAAATTACCACTGAAGAGATCAGACCGTGTGCAGCAAAAAGTATTAAAACCGGAGTTAAAATGCTAGAAAGAACTGAGTCGAACAATATTCGTTTGTACCCGGTGAAGCACGGCATGTCAGAGAATCTTTGTCTCAATTGAAATAAGTTGAAAAACAAAAGAATTTTACATAGATTTCGAAACCACCTTGGTTATTCATCATTGGATCAACATCATCAGTCTGGCCATGAAAGTACATGAATTATCATCATCAACGCAGAAATTGCTAAGATTAAAGATGAATGAGTAGCAAAAACACTAAAAATGCTGGAATGGTATTGATAACCAAGCTCTAGAGCACTAAGACTTAAAAAACAGAGAAATATGTTCTTTTCAAACAAAATCACTGTGCACCGTGTAGATAACAGATTACAGATAACCTCAAAATGTAAACATTAAAACCAAAACATTTGGATTAAGCACTTTGAGAAGGAAAGAGGCGTTGAAAAGTTGCCACGAGCGCACCGGTAATCGACCGATGACCATTGACTATTCGGATGCTATCTCGTAGATTAGCGCGGGAATTTCGAAAAAAACAGTAGGATTGTAATTTTTAAAGTCGGAAATTAAAAAAATTTAAGTTGAGTGAAACATTAATTTTTTTTTTTTGTTGAAAAACATTAGTTGAACAGAATGCTTCTAATTTATTAAAGAGCTGATGACCTAACCTAACCTAACCTAACCTAACCTAACCTAACCTAACCTAACCTAACCTAACCTAACCTAACCTAACCTAACTTAACCTAACTTAACCTAACCTAACCTAACCTAACCTAACCGAACCTAACCGCTAAGTCAGTAAAAGTCGCTGATTTAGCTAACTATTTTCAATATTAAATTAATTGTTGTAAAAATGAGTTTTGACCTAACCGCTAAGTCAGTAAAAGTCACTGATTGAGCTAACTATTTTCAATATTAAATTAATTGTTGTAAAAATGAGTTTTGTGACTTATTTGGACGAAGAATCATGATTGGGGGATTTTACAGATTGGAAAAAAAAAAAAACTATCCGGTGCCGGGAATCGAACTCGGCATCTTCACGGTGTTAGGCGAATGTTCTACCCACTGAGCCATCTGGGCGGTTGTATCGGAGTCGGAAATAAGTAGTATATAAGGGTAGCGTTATTGTTGTTGAAAAGAAGATGCATCGTTGACCGGTGACCGATGCGGATGGTTGCTGGGGATTCTGCAACTTTTCATGCCTCTTTCCTTCTCAAGAGTAAACATCAAACGGTTGAATAGCTGCTGTTGCCGAATTTAGCTAAATTGTCCATTTAAAAATGTTTTAATTTCATACCAAACGGCAGCAATGATTACAGACTTTTTGAGGTTATGTTTATCATTCATTCACTGATAAGTGATAAAACACTATTCCAAACCGAACACATGTTCAGTTCATATTTATAAATTATTTTCTGTGTTTTCTCTGAAGAATTTTAAGAGTTTCCACGTAAAGTCAATCCAGTATAGCATTTATTTACCAGCAAAAGCAACGTCATACCTTATCTGTTCCTAATCTGTTCCAGCAATGGCAGAATCAAGTGATCCTCTGCCGTATTATTTGGAGCTTTCAGACAAACCTCTCAGATTTGAAACTATTAGTAAGACTACGGCGGTATTCGTAGACGAGAAAAATCTACAGGTATGCTTAAATAATTCTTTCAAGTTTTGAAAAAATAACTCCTTCATTGAGTAATGACCGCCGAAGAGTAAAATGGGCCACAGTTCAGAATTTGAACTGCTCTATCTAAGATCTTGCTAAGAATCTAACCATACCGATCCGTCCACTGACAAGTTTCATTCAGGACAAGCTTTAGTAATTTTCACTTTAGTCATCAGCAAGCGTTGTAGTTTTTTTGGCAGAGATAAAGCAAACCAACATTAGATGACGCGTTTCAATCTCCTCATGTTTACCTTGACTCCCGAACATCACTAGAGTTCAAACTTACAACGCAGTATCGAAGCACAAACTTTTTCATGATTGGAGATTTCTTGCACCCAAGCGTTCCATATTGTTTTAATAGCTTTTCACCCGTGAGTAAAGTCGTCTAATGATGTTCTTTTTAATTATTACATTTTAGGTGACAACTGTTTACACAGGAGAGGTTACCGAATTTGTTGTGCACAGCTTTTTGCCCAGTCATTGTTTGAAGTTCCAAACCAATGATGATGCCTGTGTACTGTATATGAAGTTCTCTCCAGATATGAAGTTTTTGGCTATCCAACAAACGGAGCAAATAGTGGTAAGACCTATCTGATCTTTCTATTTGTTTAACTTAAGTTTCCAACAAATGCCTTTTTACAGGAATTCTACATTAGTAAGATGCAGACCTATTTGTTTGTTACGTAGTAATTTTTAGACCTATAAGTAGGATATCCAACCGAAACCAAACAAAATCATCTCTAAAGAATGCTTTTTCCTGATTAATCGATAAAAGTTCAAATCTGATTGATACTTCATCATAATTAATTTTTCAATACAAAGTAATATCAATTCTATTTTACAAAGCTGGATCTGTCACTGTGGTGTAAAAAATGAATGGAGCAAACGAAAGCTAAGCACAGTAATAAAATACAGCATGCACAATTGGATCGGTTTTTGTTAGACAGGCGTAAGTTTAAGAAGTCACAAGTCTTGGCTTTTGCTGATCATGCAGGACGCTAGGGATCATGAGTTTTTGAACTTATGCCTGTCTTACAAAAAACCAATTCAATTTCAGGTGTGCTCAAAAAACCTGCCTTAGCGGTCTGTATTTACACTGTCTCACTAAATACCTCAGTAATTTTTAAGTGTTATCTTGTATGCTTAGTTAATTATGATGTCATTTGAAATGAGTTGATCGGGTAACACTTTGTAGGATAAGTATTTTGTTCAAAATAAATGTCAAAGGCAAGTTTTATGACAGGAACAGTATTATATATGTTCCCTTCCAGTCTAATAAGGCATGCTTGCAAGCCTTGCATTGCTAATTTCAAAACGCATGTTTCTTGAAGGAAGAAAATAAATAATCAGGTACCCAGCTATAACAATACTAAAAATTTAAGCTTGCATCTATTTTCAATATTTTTTACCCATTTATTCAATATCATCTCCAACTGAATTATTAAAATCTGCAATGATAACTTGTGTTATTGAGTATCTTACAACCTTTAATTTTGTTTTACTTCTATTTGCCTCTATCTGAGCCTTTTACTGACAATTATTTTGTTATCTTCTAGAAATTTTTGAAATTTGTGGATGGGAAACCAGCTAATACTTTTACGCAGCCATGTAAAAAGACACATGCCAACATCTTAGGACTACAGTGGATTTCTGACTCTGAAATAGTTTTTGTAACTGATCAATCCGTTGAATTCTATCAGGTAGATCCCAAATTATTACTTCTATGATTTCTTTTTTAGAATATCTCCCAGGGTACGTACAAGAAGCTGTTACTAAGTCAAACACTTGTTTCTTGTGAAAATGCATTTATATTATCTGTCAGACAAGTGAGCGTCACTATCAGATGCCCCACCGAACCTCTTATCGTAGCAGAACCAATTTAATCTCACATTCTCACATTCAGGAGCCATTGTTACTCCTTCAAGAGTTTTGTATTCACATACAAGTACTTTTGAGCACCTAAAAACAATCATTGATTCTGGGCAAATTTTAGTCTTACGGCTGAAATTAAATTTTGGACTCAAGTTTTGTGCATGACAAATGTATAGAAATGTATTACTTGTAATTATTGCATGTCTCAGCTTTTCTTCCCTCTCTCTTGGTCTCATTTTATTTTCTTCTCTTTATTGTTGATTGATGGAAAAGAAAGTAGACTTTAATTCTCTCAGCCTTATTTTTTTTTCTTCTTTTTTTCCTGTCAAAGAACATTCAATCAAATTTTTATTTTATTCTCTTCAATGCTTCACAATTGAATGAGGCCACAATCCAAGTCCCATGGAGCTCAAAAAGTTCTTACATTCAATGGAAGAATCTCCCGCACCATGGTAAAGCAGGGGATGATGCTGTACCTGCATCCATTTAATTGTCAGTCAAACTAATTTCTTTTTTTGCATAACATGTGATGTTGAGGTGTCGATTCTGTTTGATCTTGTTTTGATAAAATGCTTCCTTTTATTCCAGGTGGACCCTGTCAAATTGAATGTGAAAGCCTTACAGTCTCTAAATATCAGTATCAATTGGTATGTTTATTGTCCAGTCTCTATGATGATGTTGGTGTCCTCTGGTCCTTGTGGTAACACGATGCAGCCTTTAGTTTTTAAAGCAGGAAATATCATCAAACTGAGTAAATTTGAAAGTAAGTTTCTCTCCGAAAATATCTTGACTTGGCAATTGACAGCCAGTCAGTAATACTGCCCTTTCTCGGCTAGTTGACTTATGACTCTGACGATCAGCCAACAGTCAACTTGGCATCGATGTTCACAATATTTAAATGTTTTCACAATGATTTGCGTTCTTGTCAGTGGTCGTATGAGTAATATGATCAGCATAAAGGTTATTTTTACAGAAATATAATACTTTGTAATGGTCTTTTTGTATCGCCGTAAGTTAGGGTGGCTCATATTTTTTAAATTTGAAAAAATTTTAAGTGCAGTTTGCTCCAAATATGCTACAGTGTATCTAAATTAAGAATCACCTTGAAAAATATCTCTAGAAACATTTTAGAGGTCTCTCGAACAGTCTCAAGAACGCATATCTAAAAGTTGGTATTTTGGTAAGAGCACTGTCGTTTCTGAATGGCCATCATTAATGTAGGGTTCTTTAGAGTAAACATGTTGTTCTTTTGGACGTATCGATAGCAGGAAACCTACAAACGGCCAAGTAAAGAGCGGATACAATCCTCTAGCGCCCCCCTAGACTGCATAGTGAACTTGAGGATTCTGCTGCAAACATAGGGTTGCATATGGCTCATCCTAGCTGACAATTGACGAGTTACAGTCATGGTTACGAAAGAGCTCTCTTATTATTACCAATATAAAGTTTTGAGTCAACTCAAGATTATGACTAAACTTTGAGACACTTATGTAAAACTCCAAAAATAGAGCTAATGCCTTTTTTATAAATACAGTGAAAACCATGTGTTATGTTCAACTTTAAAGTATTTAAAAGCCTGGAGATTTTCAAATGTTGGTCTTGGAATTGCGTAGCTATGAATTCAATCATAACTTTTGGTATATTTTTCCTTTCAGTTGAAATTCCTGCAACCAAACAGAAGAAATTATTATTTCAGCAGAGAGATGTTGCTTTAGCCATGTTGTACAAACAGCAAAGGATCTTAGTGATGTCGCACAATTCTCGTGACTCTCCAAATCACTCAGGTGCTAGTGTTCTTGTTTACACAATATCCTACAAACCAAACAAGTAAGTCCATTAAAACACTGCTCAATTTTAATTCATCACAATTATGTGAATAAAGAGATTTTACATTAGTGCTTGAACAACTCTATCCATCGCTGGTTATGATGTGTTCATTTATCTGAATGGAGACACAGGCACTCCAAGTGTGATCCTTCATTAAAACTCTGCCTGAACTACGCCAAAAATCCATCTCAATTGTCATAAGAAAGTCCTGGGAACACTATTTTAAATGTCATACCTCACTAATGATGAGATAATAGTTTCTGGTTGATGAATGGAACAGTGGCACTCATTTTTCAGTTCACCCTCAGAAAGTACAGAGTGAACTAAGCTTTTAGCCATTTTCAGACTTTTTTGAACCCTAAGTGGCAAAAAAACTTCGTTTTGAAAATGCCAAAAATGGGACACGTTTGAAAAAATATTTTTAATATGTGCTGATGACGTAGCCATTTCTTTAATTCTCCAATGATTATTTCCTGCCTTTTTTTTAGGACGACTGAAATAAAAAAAACCCATGTCTTGTCACTTGGTAGATCCGGTTCGTTTGCACTAAATGTTGTCGATAATTTGGTGGTGGTCCATCATCAAGCCTCTATGGTAAGACAGCTTTTGATTCCTGACAGTTTTTAACACTCTCATGACTAGACCTCATCCTTATTCACTCAGCTGCAGCCAGTATCACAAGGAGTACTTTTTTTAAAATTTTGATAGCAAGAAATTCGTAGGATTTTATTTATATTCTGTTGGTTTACACTTTGAATGCAAGTTTTTCAATTTTCAGTGAAATACTGTGAGCAAATGTGCTCTCAGTTACCCTTTTGCTTGTCTAATCTTTCAAAAAATCCTGTGCAGCTTCATATTGTTATATCTTGAAGCCTAAAATATTATCATAAATTTTCATCCATCTCATCTTCTTTTATATAATTTCTTTAAAATTGCTGAAATTTAAAAATGGCAGTTTTAGCTCAGAATCAACGATCAGAAAGATAAATGTTTAAAGTGAAATATCTCAAGGATTGAAGAAATTTCGGTGAATAAATACATAATTCAGTTATTAAAATGAAGCCAGCGAAGCATGAGTTTTATGATCTAAAGAACATCAGGTCTCCAATGGGAACAACAGGTCTCCAATGCAACCTTGTTAAGTTTATTCGGTCAGAAATTTGCTGAGTTGCAGCAATTTTTAGGTAACGTGTTTGCATAACTCCTGGGAGACCTTTTAGACCTCTTCTTGGTGGAGGGGGGGGGGGATTTTTCTCTGTTATTCATACACTAATTGAAATGTTTTAATGATGAAAATTTCAGTAATGTCTTAATTATTTTTTCTTGCAGACATCTTTAATCTTTGATATAATGATGACCTCTGATGAAATTTGCAAACCTATTGGCACCGGTCTATCAATCAAACCTTTCACAAAAACTGACACTGGACAACAGCACAAGTGGGAGCTCTGTATCCTTCTCATACTCAATTTTCTGTAACTCACTTCAGAAAGCCTACAAATAATTAATAAAAATGATAACAAAACTATTCTAGGAGGCCCAGTCAATGTGGAAGTGTACTTTGATAATGTTCTGAAACTTGACATGATTTATGTTTCATGTAATCAGTGTCAAGTATGCATGTTTGAATTTCTTTCGGGACTTGATTTCCAAACTTCCGGTCACGTGAATTGCTTTTTACATAAAATATGAAAATGTACGACGCCAAATCACACATTGTCTTGTGTGTCTTTGAATCGACTTTGATAGTCACAATGTCTTTTGTATGAATATTACCTGAAAAGGTGCTTCTTGCTCAGTTTGACTCTAAATCCAAATTTCAATCGAATTTATCCTTAAGTCTATATCTAGATTCAGAAACATGGATTATGTTACAGCCAAACATAATAATGGATGTTAAATTGGGATGCTTATGGTATGTGGAAATCAAAATTTCATGTGTATCCTTGAATTTGAAAAGGTTTTGGAGCAAGTTACATGCTCCTTTCTTTGTAATTTGAAACAGAGTCCAACACTTTTAAATCTTAGTTTTAAGTATTTTTACTTCATTAATTTATTAACCAGCACTAGAACTTTGCTAAGAATAATAGGTCCACTATTTTAGTTTTGTATATGGTGCTTGAAGAAATATTTATCCGTTAAAAGATGAATTCCAGAGGAATGAAGAATTAGAAAAATTCTTTAAAAGGAAAGCTGAAGGGAAAAGATGAAATAATTATCAGTAGTTCAAAGTGGTAGATGCCAAGGGAGTGAGTGTCAAGTAGGCATCAGTTAGGAGGGTCGACCAATTGCTGCCCTACTACCTTTTTTCAGATTTGTACTATTCTTTGTTACTCTCCTACAATAGTCCTCAATTTATTTAGCAGGCAGTAAATAGAGGAACAATCTTTATTGAGGAATTGCAATTAAATTATAAATACCTGGAGAAAAAAAATTTCATATGTTATTTGCAAAGAAATTTTTGTCAACAACTTTATATCTACAGTTCCACCGGTGCAAATTATTAACATGAAAAGTCAGAAAATGTTGATTATTCTGGTCATAGAAAGCCTAGAAAAGTCAGGAGATTTTTCCTTGCCAAGCTCATAGACACCCTAATTCTTGCTCTTAAGCTGTAATTTTCACATCTTTCTCACTTTGTGCTTTTGATGTTTTCAACTGACAAAATCCATTTATCTATTTCAGGTACCTTAATTTATGTGTGGATTCTTTTGTACAACTCATTCCTGACAAAAGTGATTTAGTCAGATTTCTACTTCGTCGATCTCAGTCCAAGGATATCATCCTTTCTGTAAGTGAAGCCAAGCCAATATCCCCCTGGTTTTGATAGAAAATTTAATTTTCAAACAAAAAAATACTTTCAATAACGTGCTGAAAGAAGGACCAGAAATAGTTTTAATGTTTCTATAAAGTGACATAGGAGGAAGAGAAATACTGAGCAGGGATTAGATTTTGTAGAAAAATTTTGGATCTTCATCAATCAGAGTGAATACCTGAAAATATTAATCAAGGCACAGTAGAAAGAAGTTTTAAAGAAAAATACAAGGAGGGACAGAAAAATCGGAAAAGAAGATGAACATTTAATATAGTTTTATTCCTTAGGTGAAGAGTTTTTAGCAATTAATTCAAGTTTCATTCATCAGAAATTCAGTCAACATGAAGTTTGGATTTGTATTTCTTGAGTAGTTGCTTATCGCATCCATTTCAAGGTTTGGGATTGATTTCGAACTTCCTGCTTTTCGAATCGATGCAAGATTCAGATTTTGAAGAGAAAACATGTGGTAATTCTTTTTAGCTCTGAATTTTTCCACCGGCACATTTGATTTGATTTGATTTTAATTTTTATCATTCTTATTGCAGGTGATGCACGACTTAGTTCTTGATGGTAATTTTAATTTGAAAGTAATAGCAGAAATTTTTGACTTTATCAATGGTGCGTTTTGCAAGCACTGCGAAGGAACACTTAACAGTCAAATAGGCCAGCCTGTCCAGCTTTTACCTAGTCCCACCTCATCAGAGGCCTCAGCTCAAGAGACTTGTATAAACTCAATCGATGTGTACAAGAGTGTATTGTCGAGTTTAGTAAATCATGTCCAAAACCTGGCGCCTTGCCCAAAGCTGAAGCGTAAGTAACTCGGTTAAAATAATTTTAAAAGTAATGAAATAATTTCAAGTCCAAATTATTCTCTTTTCAAATAAATAACTTCGATATTATAGAATGTGTAATACTGTAGAACCTGAATGCACCTCATGAAAAGGCATGGAAGAATTCACTAAAAAACTAGTATCCAGTAAACATTTACGTTAAAATGTGTTTTACCATTTGATTAGATGAAATTTTTATACTAATTGATATGATGTTTTTATTCAATAACTGAATGGATGAAATGAGTTTAATCCATATTTTCAATTCATCCTGTGAATTGCTTTTTTTCAGGGTGGAAAAAGTATGTAGTATGGGTCCTTTTAGAGTACATTCGATCGCTTACAGATCATGCAAAACCAATTCAGTACTTCTTATTTGAACTCATCATCAATTTCCTAGTCCAAAATAAAGAGTACTCTCAGCTTTATTTGCTTCTCCAATATAATGTAATGGCTGATTCAAAACCCTTGGTAAGTTACAAGTAATTCTGATTGGTTTTTTGTCTGGTTTTTTTTTTTTTTTTTTTTACACCTTTTTGTTTACTAGTGAACTGTAACCCATTGAACTACCCCTCTCTCAATTTTTGTCGAATAATTTTCAAAAGAATATCTTTTATCTCTCTCCTTAACTTGCTTGCATGTATGATTATACTCAGAGCTCTGGGCAGGAAAATTGTTTTTAAGGCAGGTATTCTCTAAAAGTAAAATAAATCAGACCGTGCACATAATTGTTTTTCCAATAATCTCCATACAAAGACTGTTCTAACTTTCATTGAAGAAAAACCTAGTGCAAGACACCGTTTCCCTCAAAAAAATCCTGTCTATAACATATTTATTTAATTTAACTCGATGTCATACATTTTATCCTGTCTGTATATTTTTTGAATATCTTCTTCTTCAGGCCTGCCTATTGTTATCTCTTGAGAACATTGTACCGTCGGCCCATCAATTGGCCCTAGACATGTTGCATCGTAAAGGAGCAATTGATGAAATAACTGAAGTTCTTCTGTCTAAGCAGCAAGTGGTCCCAGCTTTAAGGTAATTTGTTGTGTCCTCATCATTTTTTTATTTACTTTATGGCCTTTGCCCGTTTGTTTACTTGGAATTAAAAAATTTGGAATAAGAAAAGTTAGTTTTTTTTTCATATCTTGTGCCAGGATAGCTATGCTTTGAATAATAATTCAATGACTCACTCAAGGTCTCTACCTTCAATTACTGAGAAATCATTGATATTCTGGTGCAGACACTTCATTTCTATGGGATTATTATTTGTATTATAATCACCATTTGTATTTTTTGCTTAGTTAATCTGGTATTTACTAAGTGAAGTTTTGAGAAAGGTCTTATAGCTGGTACAACAACTACTATTTAATTCAAAATATCAATTCAAACCATGCACTGCTCATCCTTTATCATTATGCTTTCTAGGTATATTAGCTCTTGCACCAATACTGTGCAAATCTCGGGACGAAAATTTTTAGAAGCAGCCGAGCAGTGCAACGATCCAAAATTACATCATTCGATTCAAACCTGGTTTCAAGAAAAAAATGCCAAGAAAAATGAATCACCTGTGAACAAAGGTTAGTGAAGTCTCTCTCCTTTCCTCTCTTTACAAACAAAGTTTAATAACTAAGAGAAAATCATCAAGGTTCCTTCCAAGAAAAATCGCACCTTTTTTAGCCATTAAAAAAAAATAAGCACCTACTGAAAGTGGCAAATGCACTGGAAATTTCTATTACTATTCATTACTGACTATTCATTGAGAACTCAGCGTTTTCTAAGTTTGGAAAGTCTAGCCACCTGTTAACTGAAAATCTAAAGTTTACGTAAATCAAATTGTGCAATTTGAAATAACTTTTACGTATATGCATTTACAATTAAATGATTTCTTCAACATCCTGAATTTGTCTTGACAAGACTGAAAGTATTACTTATCAGGGGAGAAACGAAATTTTTGTGAAATCCTATCCTAATTATCCGTTGAGGGAAATGCCTGTTTCTACTGACTGATTTTGTTTACAAAAATATTTATTTTTCTCACAATTGAGAAGTTTGCATTGACTGATTTTTATGCAAGCAATAATCACTAATTTTCAATTTAAGAGTGCAGAAATTGATTTCTCTCTGAATTTTACAAGATATTCCACAACCATTTTTGCTCATGCTTTTCTTGTACGTTATGCTCTACTAATGCCTCTTTTCTATGTTAGATGGTTTTCTTTGGATACCAGATTCCACTATTCTCATAGCTTTTTTACCACATTCAATACATGGGATTTCTTCTCTTTTCCAGATCTTCTAGTGTATGAAGTGACCAAAGAATTCTAGACGTGCAGTCTCTAGCAAGCTTACACTCATCAGACGTTGTCAGTGCAGTTATTTAGTTTGTTAAATAATGATATGCGCTGTTTATTCAAGTTAAACTTTTCAAGTTGGAAGCTCAACACAGGCAGTAAAATGAGCGGTTAAGAAATCTATGCTACAAAAATGTATTCACTCTTCTGCTCCTGATTTTCGTTGTTTACAGTTCGACTTTGAGGGAAAGAAGAAATTTCAAGAATAGAATTTGTCTGCTAATATAGTGTAAAATCAATTAGGAAAAGTAATTACAGATATATTTTTAATCCTTTGGAGGAAGCCAAGGATAGGAAAAAAAAGTGTCTTCAGGTAAGATTGGTGCCCATTTTTTTTTTTTTTTTTTTTTTGGAAATGAAATAACTCTAACAATGTGGGTAAAAATACCGTTACTAAACTCAGTATACTTCATATGCTGTATACTCAGTGTACCTAGTATCTTTCACATACTCCGTAAAATCCTTATTGAGAATCACGCATGCAGCTAATAAGGTCCGAGTAGGGTTAACTCCGTCCCCTCTTACTCAGAAATGTTGTGGTGGCATGTATGGGACTTTTAATAGCAGTAAATCCCCATGAAGGTTATATGGGTTCTTGGCCCCATGTAATATTTTACCAGTGCTTCTTTTGTTAAGAATATCATAATGATGCCAATGCATGGGGATCGTATCATTCCATGATCTCTAAAAGAAAGGAGGCACCTCCATAATTCCTATTTGAGGATGGCTTCCAGTAGGTAGATTTAGAAGTGCAAAAGTTCTCCCATGGTGTTTACAATCACCACCATTTCCAGGGCTTATGTTGCAAATTTTTCCAAGGTCTGGTGAGCATGAATATTTACCATGAAATAAAATAGTTGCAGTAATTAACATGAACACCATGAATGCTGCCATTTCACCGATAACATTGCGCTTGTTGCAATTTTTCTGGAACAATTGCATTTTCATAAATTTATTTAAGGTATCATTAATTCATCACTTGCCCCGGGAATTGTTGGTTTTAACTAACTTTAGTATTTCTCTTGACTCTAGATCAAATGAAAATGACAATAAAATCATTTTTGACTAAGGTTTAAAGATGTGCAAATCTCCGCTCATGTTTTTCATAAGTAAAAATTAATTGACGAATTTCCTTGAAATTTTGTGTGAATTTCTGCTCTTGATATAATTGCATTTATATGTATGCAGTATATCTTAAAAGTATGTTATGGTCAGTGCCTTATTAACAAAATAAAACATGAAGATTTTGAGACGTTGCAATGGATGTGGACATTTTGCAACCACAGCCATTGCTATGCAGTATTCACTAATTCGATATAAGTAATTAATTTCCAAGGTAAGACTAGATAGCCCCGGCGCGGTAATTGTCGTATGTCGGCGCGAATACCCCGTTATGTAAACCCTGCGAATTTGAATTATCGCGCTGCGAAAAATCGGCGCGCACAGCTCAAAACGCCTGCAAACTCCTGGATGTACTTCATGTTCTACTGCAATACACGCAATTCTCTGACGCGCGCCAGTAGCCAGCAGTGGCGTGGCGTGAAATGCGATAAATCGATTGTTATGCCATTTAAACCTATGGTAAAGAATCGATTATTAAGGTGTTCGCTGCGAACACCCTGATAATCGATCTTTTTTCATAGGTTTGAGTGGCATATTTATCGATATATCGCAAAGCACGCCACGCCACCGGTAGCCAGTAACAGTTCATCTGCGATATTTGAATCGCAAGCAGCAAGGTTTCACCTATTTTGTATGCCTGGCCAGGAGGTTATGATCCGATAACAGTTGGACGTTTATTTTTACGTAAGGACGTAAATGCATGAAACAACAATAACATACTTGCACAAATAAAGTAGGTAAAAAGGAACTCTGTACTTTTGTGATTTGTTTTCAGTTTCATAGTTCCTTTTGGTTTAACTGATTCGTGCCTAGTTCCTCTTGGCATAAATACGTCCAGGTTGCGTTTTATTAAGTTTTGCCACACTACTTATCTCCGTCTTATCAATTATTGTCACCCCGCTAAAATCTTCTAGACATAAGTGTTTTATTCACTTTTTTACCTAGTTGATATGGAGAAAAAAAATACATCAAGTTATTTGGAAATTCTTCCTTGTTTTTCTACCTAATTAATAATTCATTGCAGGACTTTAAAACTTGTAATGTGTAGTTGGTTTTCTCTTAAAATCGTCCATAGCCTACTGCCTGAATATAATCAAAGCTAGATTTGCAAAAATTTCGTGAGTGAGGCTAGGATTGGGCAGGTCAGATGCACTTTGTCGAGGGTAGGTTCGGGCAAACATCGTAGACAGCCCTCTGATGATTCACGTTTGGATAATGCAGCACTACTTTCGAGTCGCAATGAACCTGTAACTCGAATTTGATCGATCTAGAGTGATCTTTTACTCGCCGATCTCCTCTGGAATACACTTTGAGAAATTTAGGGGGCGGCAAATTTTGCAATATTTTTAAATGTAACTATAAAAAAAAATCGGAATCGGAAAAAAAAAATACCAACGAGAAAAGGTGACAAAATCTCTCATTTCCTGAGAGTATATTTCTAATTTAGTCGTCTTTCTGTGATACAATAGACAGCACCTTTAATTAGTCGAGTCAAGACTAATTAAGATGAAACGGAGAAACCCTCGGCGCGGCAGTCGGCGCGGCATGTAACACATATTAGCGCCTACAAGACTGCATGAACACTTCACGCATTGCGTCAAAGACAGTGCGCGGTCGCTGCGGTCAGCGGCGTGAAACGCATAGCGCCTACAAGACTGCATGAATACTTCATGCATTGCGTCAAACGCAGTGCGTGCAGCATCGGTCGGATTGAATCGCATAGTGCACACAAGACTGGAGGAATACTTCATGCATTGCGCCAAACACAGAGCGGTCAGCGCGGCGCCGCGGCGGAAGTTAAATTAAACCATATTTATGTTTGTTCTGTCATTATTTTTACGTTCATTTCATATACATGGAAGGCCTTGTCCACACAGAGATACATAGGTTTACGGAACATAACTTTCGCACCAAGTTCCGTGAACTTTTGCGAGAATATAGTGTCGACAGGGTTCTCGCAAAAAATGTGTCCAACACGAGTAAACGCGTCTTATGAACCCCTCCCCCTCCGGCACGTTCACTTGATGGTTCTTATTAATGTTTCAAAACGAATGAGAAGGGGGCGGCAAAATACATGCGGCCTATGGCAAGTAAGTGAATCCGGCCCTGACTTTCGAGGCGATTTAATCTAAAATTAAATTTCCCAAAAATTGGATTATACACATTCGGCAAGTCTCTCAGGAAATTCGTCTTTCATAAAAAAAGATAGTGGCAACGTTTGAAAGTTCACACAGCGTTTTTCTTAAGCAGCGGCAGAACGGGTTACGTAATTTAAGGACAGCTGGAATAATTGGACTATCCCGTCCAGTGCACTCGAGGAATCCACATTCACACATCGTCGTTATCAGCGGAGCCGCGTAAAGTGCAGCGTAAGTACCCGAGAGAAACGGGAGTTTATCGGTTAGTGGGTCTGCCAGGACCAGTGTCGTTCGGAAGGTGGAGCAAGGGCGGCTGGATCGCCACGAAAAAATTCCCAATTTTTCGAGACGCTTCGCGCGCGCCGGACGAAACTCGGTCGCATTAACTCAGCGCCACCCGCCGTTGCCGCCGCGGTCGCTTCTCAGGGTCTCAACCGTTTGAAATGGGGGTATTTCGTGCCCGTCGCGGCAACACCGGCGCTAGGTGCGCCCGAATGACACGAAATGTAAATTGCAGTTTTATTACTCCGATGCAATTTATCTCGTCGCGAGCCCCAACATTGGGTCGCCGTTGCCTAGTCTCCGCCACTAGTGGACTATTGGACAGGGGTTGATATTAAGTACCTTCATCGAGGAAAAGTATGGTCGTTATCAGTGAAGTGCAGTTTTCTTTTGCCTCTTCTGGCTGCGCTAAAGGAAATACTTGCTGCCTCAAGGAAAAGATGAAGCTGGATCGTGCTGTGTTGAGAGCGATTCGATTGTCGATCGATCGATTGGATCCCAATTGGACTACATTTTGCAATTAGGAACTATAAATTCCGGCCCGGTTTAAAAACAACGTATATGCCATTAGTTTCCCTATGCACATAAGTGTTTTTTCAGATGAACCAGAATTTATAGCTCCAAATTGCAAAATGCAGTTCAATTTGCAAAATGCAGTCCAATTTGCAAAAAGGAATCAGCGCGATTACAGTGTTGTGAAAATGTTGCTTTTTTATAATTATCTAAAAAATTAGAATAGCAAATAATTTTGGCTTCCCACCAAAAAATTGTTGATTTTAAAGGGAAATAATCGTGCGTAAATTGTAATATTGTACTGATATTAATTATTATTAAAAGAAAACGAGAAGTTGCACGATTTTGAAAACACTGTAATCGCACTAGTTACTTTTTGCTAAATGCGATCCAATTTAGGTCCTCTGCAGTTTAGGAAATTTTCAACAATCTCAGAAAGCTGTGGGGATTCTTGAAAGTTGGCGATACTGATTTTCTTCCATTTAAATGTATGTAAAACGATCGATTTTTGATGAGGCAGCTTGCTTCATCTAAAATCGATACTTTGTTCGGATTCAAATGAAAGAAAAACTTTAGTGCCATCTTTCAAAATTGCCACTGCCCAGAAGCCAGATCTGACTGTAAGTAGCAGTATCTGTGCACGAGATTTGAGCGAGAAATACTTTAAAATCTCTGAAAGTTGGTCTCTGTCATGAGTAGTTGTGTCTTTCGATTTGCAATATTCATTCGGGACGCAATTTCTAAGTAATTTCAAAGTGCCTCTGAATCGAATATCGTGCCCAAATACCCGACGTAAAACAGCATAATGTGGTTTTTAGGGATATTTGAAATGCAGACATTAAAGTCACTCGTACACGTATACTCTGGCGTTCCGCGCCATTTTTGAAATACTGTTCTTAAATCCAGAATTTATCAATTAAGTGATCGACTTATGAATTGTTCTCACAAATGCTGGAAATCCACCTCAATTTCACCAAGTCAATTGTGAAAGCAATGTTATCGCGGTGAGGAAACTTTGTCTCAACTAGAAATTGATTCGGCGTAGATAAGTAATTAAAAGCTTACTGGACACAGCAATTAGTTTTCTCTCCAGCGTAACGCAAATCTGCGGGGATGCGCTGTTTTCTTACGGTGATGAACCCGATTTATCTCGGTGTAAATGTTTACGTTCAATATTAACCGACATATCGTCCTTTGAAAAGTCGGATTTTTGACGGCATCCACCGCGGTAGTGCATAACATGGTGTGTACTACCGCGGTGGATGACGTCATAAATCGAGTTTTTCAAGGCGCGATATCTCGGTTGATATTCGGTTGTTTGGACAGATCTTATTATTTTTAGTTGATCTGCAAGAATATCTAAAGCAACAAAACACGATTCTGTGACCAGCGCTACTGACCCATCCATCAAATGCCCTGGTAGTTATGACATTAGTTATTTATTTCCTCTTTTTTTTCTGTTCGATAACTGAGTTTTGCTTTTCTTCTTTTCCAAAAATAAGAAAAAAAATAGAATCAAAAGAACTGCTATGAATTTTCAGGAAATTGAAGTATCAAGAATTGTTTTTAAAAATCCTGCAACAGTTCTAAGTTCTTTAAAAGCTTATATTCATATAGGCATTTGTAAAATGACAGAATTTCCTTTCCAAAATACAATCCACAACATGGCGCTTTTATTGATATTTTGTGTATGCAACTCAAAAAAGGAAAAAATCGTCGCAGGCAAAATTAGACGCAATCCACTACAGCAATTCTTCTCTTATGAGTTAATTTTAAAAGTTTTTCGGTGTCCTCACCGTGTTTTACGTTGATTCATTAACTCCGCTGGTGTATGCAACTATTAGGGCACAAGTGTATAATTTGGTATCATCAGTGATTGAAGGAGTTCCGATTTTAGTCGTTGCACGCACGTCCAAATCGTGTTGTTCTATCGATGTTTTCGTTTACGAAACTAATTTTTCTCTATTTTCCTCTACTTGCGTGTGACTTATAAATCTTCAGTTCACTTCTAAACATCACGTGAGGGAAGGATTTCCTAGACTGAAACGTCGGAAGCATCAAAATGCTATGATATGGAACGGATC